CTCCATAAAATTAGGGGATTAGACTTTGTGGCCTCTAAGTTCCCTTTCAGCTCTACATCAATGAATTTCCTTCTTCCTCGCTCTTTTGGCTTTCCTATCCCTTTCTTCTTCCCCCTTTCTTCCTCTATTCTCACCTTGTTTCCACCCCTTTCTCATTTTCTTCTGTCTTACCTCACTTCTTCCTCCTTCTCACTTTTCTCCCTGTCCTTTCTTATTTCTTCTTTTTCCTCTTCCTTTTCCCTCACTTTTACTGACCCACACTTTCTCTCTCCTCTCCCCATCCTTCATTTCCCTCTCCTTACCCTCTTGCCCCTCTTCTTTCTTCTCCTTCCTTTCCCCCTCATTTTTATTCACCCCCTCTTCTCTCCTCTCCCCATCCTTTACCTGCCTCTTTGTCACTCCTCTTTCTTCTCCATTTTCCCTACTCATCACTCTCCCCCACTCCATCTTCTCTTCCCTCCTTCCCTTCAGGATTCCCATTTCATGCTTTTCTTCTCACTAGCTTCTCACTCCACCCCCTGCCCCCCATTGCCTTTTTCCTCCTAGCTCAGTGTTCTACCTCTCACTCCAGTCCCAGGCCCTTCTCCTTTCTCTCCTCTCATGACCTTTCCACCTCACTCACCCATCCATCTCTAGATTTTCTGCCTCTTATTCTCTCCCTATTCTTTCCCTCTCACATCTTCCTTCTTCTTTCCTCCCTTTCCTTCTCCCCTCTTCTCTATTTACAGAGGATGTCAGGGTTAGGAGGGGCCTCAGGACAGGGGATGGCAGGGCTAGGAGGGGCCTCAGAATGGGAGATGGCAGGGCTGGGTGATGGGGGGAGGGCATGCTTGGAGCAGAGAAGGTCAGGGCCAAGAGGGAGTAAGGACAAAGCTTTGTCCATTTCCTCCAGCTGATTCTCTCATCTTACAGATGGAGAAACTGAGGTGTCAAAAGGTTGTTTTCCCTTCCCAGTCATTGCCATGCGTTCCTCTCCCAATCTTTCCTTTTCTTTGCCCCCCCAAAAACATTCTCTTACATGCCCCCTCTCCCCTCCCCATGGGCTGAGGCAGGAGCTCCCCTGGGGGCTGGCTGCTCGGCAGGGTTGGCTGGACCGGGAGGGGAGAAGACCCTTTGTGACCTTTCTCTTCTTCTCTGCCTGTCTTGCACCCTGGGACATCTGCCTTGGACCCTGGACGAAGTCACTGGTCAACAAGGAAGAGGACAAGGAGGACACCACCCAGAGCCCCCACTTCATGGAGGGGTGATTCCTAAGTGGGGGGAAGGGCTAACTGGCTGCCCCCACTAACTCCCCCTCACTTACCTCACAATGACCCTTCCACCTTCTTCATTGGACATGTCTGGGCAGCCTGAGTAGGTGGTGAGCTCCCCATTTCCCTAGGCTCCTGCATGACCTGGAAGGCTGGACTTTAGGACCCCTCCCAGCTCAGACTCTGGATTCCATGCCTTCCTACCCCCCAACCCCCAAGCAAAGAATCTTCTTCCCCCAAAAAGATCCCCTTTGCTCCAATCTCTGGCCATTTCTTCTTCCTTCAGAAAGACACCAGCCATCTGGGACACCGTGGGGGCCTCCAGGAGCCCCGCCCCCTGCCACCCAGCTGCTCAGGACCCCTTCCTTGCCAAGGATCTGCCTGGCTGCTCCTCTGACCTCCCAATGAAGAGCAATTACAATGACTACGGCATCATAGGACAGACGGGAAGACTTGAGGACCATGAGATACACAAGGACCGGCCGCCGTTCCAGAGAAGAATCGAAGCTGCTGCCCACTCTGGCCAGAGGCGATGGACTCTGGGTTCAGACCGGCCAGGGCTTGACTGTACCTATGGGCCATGTACGAGGAGGGTGGTGATGGGTGCGTTTTGTTGACTGAATAAAACTTATTTTTTTAAGAAAGTACACACACCCTTGTCCTTTTCTCTGCCACAACCCACGGCAAGGTGAGGAAGCCTCTTCTCCTACTGCCCCCAGGGGCTCAGACTCATCACTCACCCCCACAGGGGCACCAGCTCCTTTGACTTGCCTGGAAACCCATCAATGAAGGTTGTTCAGGATGGGCAGCACCCTGGGTCATTGGGCACCGTCTGTGGTGAAACCTAAAACTGCAAAGCCAGCTCTCTTAGACACTCCCCAGCCCTTGACCTGAGCATCCATGAAGTTCTGGGAACTGGGACTGTATAGACGAGAAGCCCTTGAGCATGGGTCCCACTCAGATATGGTGGTGAAAAAGCAACAGAGGAACCATAGAAATGTTCTCACCTCAGTCCACTAAGCAGTTCCCCACCACCCTCCCATCTATAGGAACACAGCCCATAGTCCTGTAACATGGGAAGAGACTGGCCCACAAAATCAACCCCAGAGCCCACAAATATTCTCCCAGGCAACACATCTATGCATAATAGAAGGGCAAAGTCCTCAACTGACCACTTTGGGGATGCCCCTCTTCTGGCCACATGTCAATTCTCCCATTAATAAAAATGGGCGCTCAATATTGGATGAAGGTGTTTTTCTTCTCCCTCCTTAGCCATCTGCCAAGGACTCACCGTGCCACCTTGGCCAGGTCCCTTCCCCTCTCTGGGTCTCCACACTCCACATCGGCTCCAATATTCTGTGACCCTGTGGACTCATGGGGCCACAAAGCTCTCATTCAGCCCAGAAGGTGGCACCCCCAAACCAACTGCAAAGTGGGGAGTGAGCTGCCCTCAACCACAGAGAACATGCAAAGGGGGGTGTTTTCAAACAAATGTGGGGTTTTAACTACCCTTTTCTGGGCCTTGGCTTCACCATTTATAAAACGAGGGCATTAGACTGCAATAGAGAACAGCAAACTATAGCTCTCGAGCTAAGAACATTGCCATTTGTATGTTTAATTATTGTACAAGTATGGCCTATATCAGACTGCACACTGTCTTAGGGAGGGGAGACGGGAAGGAGGGGGAGAAAATTTAAAACTCAAAATCTTGTAAAGGTGCATGTAAAAAACTAAAAATAAGTATTTTTAAAAGAATATTTACATCACATTGTAAATGGCAGAAAAAATCAAAAAAGTTTCGTGGCATGTGAAAATTATATGAAATTCAAATTTTAAAAAAATTCAAATTTCCACATCCATGTCTATGGCGGCTCTCCACCCCAGGCAGTGTGGTAGAGACACGGGTGGTGTTCTCTGAGCCCAGAGGATCCCGCTGAGCAGCTGCGGTGCTTCACACCTCAAATTTCATCTTATTTCTGGCCACCAGAGCCTACCCACTACGTCAGAACAGGAGAAAAGTGGTCTTTCACGGCTGCACTTTTGGCCCGGTGGGGCACAGGCTGGAAAGGCATCATGGGCACTGTCCAAGGACAAGAGGACCTCACCTCAGCATCCCCAAACCACCACAACAGGCCCAACTCATAGCAACGTCAGAAAAACGAGAATGCTGAAAACCAACATCTCATCCCAGCAGATGGAGAGAGGGCGAAGCCAAAGTGGCCTGATCGATGGTGGGTCCATTGGATCGTGGCTGACTGCAGCAGCTGCAGGAATGTACCCAGAGAAAGTAAGCTCATTTTTCAGACTGCTAGCCTTGTGGTTCTGTTAAGACCATCCTGTGGATTAGGACTGGCATGTGGCCAGGTGGAAAGACAGCGTCCAAAGAAGCAGCACGTGAAATCCCATTAGAGATCGGGGAGCGCGTCTGCTAAACAGTTCTGATGGGGGGACACTTTAAACCCCAAATAAGCTAAATGTGAGCCCCCAAACAATCCCACTGTTCTCATTACACATAAATCACAAAAAACAAAATTGACTCCATTGTTACATTTCAAATTCCATCAACAAAAAAAACTTGCGGAAATTGTTTTCTCTCCACAGTGGCCTCAGCTTTGCCTCTAGGGCTTCATAGCCCAAGCCACTGGCCATCTGGTCCCTCACAGAGAGCTCACTGACCCTGCCCTAGGGGACCACAGTGAGCATTGGCCCGATCTGGCTCTCGGATTCTGTCAGCCCAGAGGCCCGGCCCTTTCTGTGGCATCACTACAACACACCCACAAGGCTGGCCTCCAGGGAAGGAACCCATTGCCCTTTGGGACAAGCTGCTCCGGCCAAACAGCTACTCCACAGTGCCCCTGACCAGGCCAAGCACACCCAGCTCCTCCACCTGATGCTCCAGGACAGCCTGTCCCCCTCCAGTGCAAACAAAGCAAGACAGCCCTGGGGCAAAGGGGCGCCGGCCCCCAGGCCTGCCCCCACGGCTGCCATCAAGGGGAGCACCCCGACGTCCTCACTGGTCCTTGTACACACCTGCTTTCCCACTCATTTCTTCATGCACGCCAGGCTAATCACTGACAGACAACCCCCCCGGCTTCCCAATGCCCTGAACGTGATCCCATCACCACAGCGACTGCAAAGGCTACCTCAACACCTGCATTTTACAAACTGAGTAAATGGTGCTGGCGCGGCTTCAGCCTGCGCAGGGCCCCTGACTCGAGCTCTCCAGGCCCGGGGACACAGAGGGCGGCCCCCCTGCCCTGGAGGTCCGCAGGATGGGGGAGCCTCAGTGGGGTCCCCGAGGGTCCAGGCCTCCTCCGCCTCACATCATGCAACAGGCTTCTCGGGCCCAGGGAGAAGGTCCTCTATCCCTATTAACCTTTTGCCTACAGTCCTCCCCACTCCTGGCCTGTCGGAGCCTTCTGGGTCCCGTCCCGACGTCTCTGTCCAGCCCCGAGAGACTGTGAGGACAGTCAGTGGGCCGAGGGTCTCTGAGAGCCCCTTGCCTGAGGCCCCAGACACCTTCCGGATCCTGACCCAACTCCCTCGGTAGATGAGGAAACAAGCCCACAAGTCACACCGTCCACCCCTGACTCAATTCAGTCTAGCTCAGTCCACGGGGCCCCTCCCCGGGGAGTGGGCTGGCAGAGCTCAAAAGTGAGAGACAAGAGCCTAGGGGGGCCCAGCTGGAACTGTTTATTTAGTGACAAACTGCTGAACAAATCCACCCTCACCTCCCACTGCCCCCGCCCCCGCCGCCCCCACCCCCTCCCTGGCCACCAGCATCAGGTGCTCCAGACATCATGAGGAACAGGACAATGGGAACGATGTACATCCACTGCGGAGGGCCAGGAGCACGCCGGGAGTACAGGGAAGAACAGGCAACCGGGCAGGAAGGGGGAAAGAGACCAAGAGGAAAACAGAAGCCAGGGAAGAGGCCCCCGATGGAACACAGGCACAGACAGCCAGACACATTCAGGGGAACCCAGAGCCAGGCAGAGAGATTCCCCCCCCCCAGGAGGTGGACATACATGAACACCCAGACAGGGGGGAGGGAAGGAGGGGTGGAGAGGAGGAGGAGAGAGGAGGGAGGGAAGGAAAGAGAAGAGGGAAGGAGGAAGAGAGGGAGGAAAAAGAGGGAAAAAAGGGGAAAGAGAGGGAAGAAAAGAGGAGAGGGACAGGGAGAGAAAGATGGGAGGGTGGAGGGAGAGGGAAGGAGGGGAAGAGAGGAAGGGGGGGAGAGAGGGGGAGAGAGAGAGAGAGAGAGAGAGAGGAGAGAGAGAGAGAGAGAGAGAGAGAGAGAGAGAGAGAGAGAGAGAGAGAGAGAGAGAGAGAGAGAGAGAGAGAGAGATCTGTGAGAACTGGTTTCACTCCCTTTCATCCCCCCCAGCCCCAGGGAAAGAGGGATGGGAGCCTCAGTGTAAGGGAGCAGCAGAGGCAAGCAGTGAGGGAATGGGGGGCCCAGGGTCCCCTATATATCTACAGGAGGGAGGGAGGGCCAGTCCTGGGCGGGGGGAGCAGAGGAGAAAGGTAGGTTACTTGGGTCCTCACTCAAGCCTCAGACGATGGTGCTGGGCCCCGGGCCGGACGCATGGCAGTAAGAAACACGGCGCCCCCCAGGATGAGGTGCCACTGAGAAGGGAGATGGGGAGCGGAGGGTCAGGGCAGCCTGAGGGCCCCCAGCTCTGTCTGGTGTTCTTCCTCCTGCCCCCTCCCCCAGGCAAACTCAGGTATCAGGGGAGCGAGGCCAAGGTAGCCGGGAAATGAGCAGAGGAGGATAAGGAGAGGGGCTAAACTCAAGAGAGAACGGGCAGACTGAACAAAACTGGGGAGAGGGAGGAGAAAGACTGAGACCCCCAAAGGGCCCACGTTGGGCCAGCCCGAGGGCTGAGAGGAGAATCCAGAGGAAAGGAAGGGCCCGGCCACGGGGGCCACACCCGGGGGCTCCAGCTCTCACCAACAGGCTGCTGGGGTTGAAATGGTGGGAAACCTGGAGCTGTAGCCACTCTTACTGATGGTCAGGAAGAGGAAAGCAGGGGCCTGACACCTCCAGAGGGCTAGCACCACCCGTGGGCTAAACTCCCCCAAAAAGGCCTGTCCAGGGCTCTGATGAGGGAGTGATCACCCTCAGGGGGTTGGAAGGCCAAAGAGGAGGCCACATCTGTCTGACTCTTGCTCTCCTGTACTTTCTGCCAAGACTGTTGGACCGGAAAGACTAGAACAAGATGGCAGATGGAGACCAGCTACCCAAGGGAAGCTGGGAGATGGAGCTCCAAGCTCCCAGCTGCCCATGATGAGCTCAAGTCACAAGAACCAGAATAAAAGCATCTCTTGGGGACTGGAAAAGAAGACACACAGGATGTCTAAGAAAAATCTCAGGGGAACATAGGAGAAGACCACACACTGCTGAAGTGACCCTGCGTGAGACGATGGCTGGTGAACAACTAGAAAAGGAAGCAGGCATCCCAGAGAGCCGCCAGCCTTCCTCAAGAGCAGGTCTCGGCCTCTCACCAGATTTCCTTCTTTGATGGTGTTACCAGACCAAAGATTTGGCATAGACCCAATTCACCCACATTTTAGCAAAGCCCACCAGAGAGTCTCGTACTCGGCTGAAAGGCAGCCTTCCGCATGGCTCTCCAGGATGTGGGCACCTTCCTTCCCAACAACCTGAGGCCTCGGTGGAAGATGGAAGCTCCCTGAGGGGAGCAGCCCGACTCACAGGCAGGAGGCTTTTCCCTACTCTGGCAGGGTGGAGAAGAGGGGGCCCTGGATGCTATTCTTGCTCTCCGGAACACGGGCAGTTGAGGAGGAGGGAGGACCAAGAGATGCAGGAGAGCCCAGAGAAGACACAAGAAGCAGGGAGCTCCCCTCTGGCCTGGGGCCTGGGAGCAGAAGATGGTGCTCCCTACCAGCTGGAAGGGCAGGCCCTGGGGGACTGGGCAGGGGCAGAGCCTGGCGCCCTGGCCCTCCCGCTGCTTCTCTCAAAAGCCAAACTGAGGAGAAGAGGCTCAAGTCCAGTGTGACCAAAGAAACGGGGGCTCAGGGAGAGGCAGGGGGAGCCCCAGAGATCAGGGAGGAGCAGGGGTGTGGCCAGGGAGGGCAAGGCCAAGGGGGGCCCGGGGCCCTGGGCAGCCACTCCTGGACATGCAGGGTCCCTCCCCCAACCCCAGCTTCCCTAGGGGCTCAGGGAGAGGCAGGGGGAGCCCCAGAGACGAGGAAGGAGCAGGGGTGTGGCCAGGGAGGGCAAGGCCAAGGGGGGCCCGGGGCCCTGGGCAGCCACTCCTGGACATGCGGGGTCCCCCCCCCAACTTCAGCTTCCTTAAGGGCTCAGGGGAGGGAGGGGGCACTCACATATTTGGCAAAGAAGGACTTCTGCTCCTGGGGGTTCTTGGCCTTCTGGGCTTGTTCCATCTCTAGACGCTCAATGAAGGCGGCCGTCTCTGGGCTGGAGACAGCGAGTGAGAAAAGTGAAAAGAGACCACAGCAGCCTAGAGGAGAGGAGGGGGAGAGGGAGGGGAGGGGGAGAGGGAGGGAAGAGGAGGAGAAGGGGAAGTGGGGAGGAGGAGGGGAAGGAGGGAGAGGGAAGGCAAGAGAGACCCACAGAAAGGCTAGCCCACCCACCTCATAGGACATCCAGGAAAAACCAAAGAACCAAACAGAGGGACAGCAAGTCCTAGCAGACACCAGAGGCAGAGACAGGTGTGCCCCCACCCCGCAGTGGGGGACAGCGGGGAGGACAGCGGGGAGGTAGCCCTCACCCGGGGGCAGTGAGTGGCGGCTGCAGCTGGACTGTGGTGTTGAACAGCTCCAAGTCCACATCTTCCACCTCGTGGCCCCGGCAGCCCCCAGGCTCCGTCACCACCGACAGGCCCACCACGTTGCCAGCCACGTCCACGTGCAAGGTCAGCCGGTCGGAGAGGTGGGACTCCACCAAGGAGCACTGCAGGGGGCAGCCTGATGAGTCCAGGGGCAGGGCAGGCCAGGCTCATGGCTTGCAGGGGGGCAGGTCCCATAGGAGTCACCAGGCCCCTCCCTCTTAGCCCTCCTGGCCCAGCCCTTCCCCCAACCCTGCTCCTTCCCCTGCCCTCCAAGGCACAGACTGCCACACCTGGGGGGGGGGGTCCTGGGGCCTTCCTGGTCCCCCTCCCCAAGGCACAGATGGCCATGGTTTGGGCCAGGGGCAGAGGCAGACCAGAGGGCAGCTCTGCCAGGCTCCAAGGTCAGTAAGTCACTTAGGGTGTGTCTGGGCAAAGCTGTCCACACTCCTCTGATCTGGTGGGGCCCGGATGCGAAGGGTCTCTGGGCTCGACCTCTCAGAGGCAGGGTCTCCCCCTCTGTTAAAAGTGGGGGTCGAAGGCAATGGTCAGCACAGCCCCTGCTGAAGGCTTCCCTGGGGGCTGACTTGGCTGAATCATATTAGAAGTCCCCCAACCCAGCGGGTGGCCCCAGGACTCACCGCGGGGACAAAGGAGGAGACATGGCCAGCCGCCACCAGGCCCTCGACAGCCCCTGGCTTCCGGGGAACCCTGACTCGGTACAGGCCATTCAGAGCTGCCACATCCTGGGGAGAAGGGAAAGGTGAGAAGGGGACCCAGTGACCTCTCCCAGACTCCCCAGGGCCTGCGCCCCCCACCCCGCCTCCCTCCTCCAGCCCCTCACCCGAAGCCTGCCCCGCTCATCCTCTGTCAGCTGCCTCTGGGTCAGGGTGATCGTCCCATCCTGCACATTCCACGTCAGGGAGCCCCGTTTCCGGAAGTGGACGTTGTCATCTGGGGGCACAGGGAGCTCAGGCTCAGAGAACACGGCCCTCCTTGCCGATCAGGCCTCAAAGGAACTCAGACCTGAGCTAGCCCAACTCCCTTGTCCTACAGACAGGGAAACTGAGGCCGGGAAGGGCAAAAACTGGTTCACTGTCACACAGCAAGTCACTGGCGGGTTCCCCTGGGGTGCAGTGAAGGATCTGGGTTTCAATCCTGGGAGAGCTGCCCTTCCCCCCAGATGGGTCACCTCTAAGACTTCATTTTCTAGGTCTAAATAAGGCTGTGTGCTGTGGCCACAACAGTGAGTGCCCCCCAAGATCCTAAGAGTGTCTGGCTTCCCTGGGAAACCCTGTGCCCCTCCCCCTGCCCGCCCCCCCCCACCCTGCACCCTGCCCCAGAGCACCCTCTGCCCCCACCCCATCCCTACTGGTCCCCAGGCCTCACCAGTCTCAAAGGAGTGCTCCAGCAGTAGCCCCGTGGGCCCACAGCCTTCTGCTGCAGCCTGGGGGAGAAGGAGGGAGCCCCAGGTCAAGCACAGTGCCCGAGCTCCACCTCTGGGGACACACAAGCCCCAGACTCTCTGGTTGACTCTCTCCAGCCCCAGGGCGCTTCCTTGGGGTCACTGGTCCCCCCCCCCAGAGGACTGATAGTAAGGGGGGGGGCTTCAGCAGAGACTTCCTGACTGCCTCAGTTTACAAGTGAAGAAACTGAACCCCAAGAAAGCAACTTGTCTGAGGCAGCACAAACACCTGCCGGCAGAGCCAGCCTGGAAGTGGGGCCTCACTATCCGAACCAGTCCAGCCCGAGAGCCGGGGGGAGGAGGAGGACGCTGACCCCCAGGGCTGTCCCTCCGCTGCCTCCTCTGGAACAGGAAGGGGCTGGCCCAGCCTGGGATCACCCCAAGGCCTTCTAGCGTGGGCTGGCCCCACTACTCCAAGGGGCCCCATCACCCCAAGAAGAAAGGAGGGAAAAGGGGGAGGCCCCAGCTTGTCTGAAAAAGGCCCGGCCTGGCACTGTATCTACTGGGGAGGGCAGTGATCAGAGCGGGGAAGGCTTGGGGTTCGCCCTGCAGGGACCAGTTGAGGATTTGGGAGTGGTTGGGCCCAAACACTGCGTGCAGGGGCCCCCAGGGGAGGGCTCCGGGCCAGTCATGGCCAGTCCCCAGACCCCCCACTGGGGGGTCTCAAGCAGAGGGGGACCGCTCCCACGTGGGGTGGAGGTAGGGAGAGAACAGGGGTGCAGAGAAAGTGACCCACGGGGCAGGGGTGGGGTCACGGGCCCTGGGGGGGAGAAGTGGTGGGCAGGGGCTGGCCCCCAACAGACCGCTCTGGAATGACACAAAAACTCCAGGAAGCAGCCTTCAGCTCCAAGGGCCAAGTAGAGTCCCTGACCCGCTCACGCCGATGGGGGTCTGCCCCCGCGAAGTCACCTTCCTAAAGTGAGGTCCGAGCGCCATCCCGCCCCCGGCCCCCAGGAGCTGGCAGAACGCAGTGCTCGGCATTCAGAGCCCCCCCCTTTAGCCCCTTCCTGTTTACCTCCCCCCCATTAGACTGGAAACTCCTCGAGGGCAGGCACAGACTCTGCCCCTGAGTTCCCCCGTGCTTCGCACAACGCCGGGCACACAGTAGGTGCTTAATAAACGGCCGTTAACAGGGATCAGCCCCAGCCCGGGATCTTGCTCCTGGATGATCCCCATCTTCCCTTACCCCCTCCCCCAACCCTGGTGTCTCCTGAACCCAACAGGCGTCTAGTAAATGCCCAGGAAGCCATGGACTTGGGGACCACAGGGCCGAGCCCCGCCTCTCATTTGCATACCGCTGTCAGGCCGGCCCCAGCTCCCCCAGCTCGTTTGCATACCGACGTTCCGCGCGAGCCCGGCCCCCCACATTTGAATACCACAAGCCACCCACGCCTACCTCCCCCGGGCCCGGCAGTACTGACCCCCCGAGCTCCGGCCCGACAGCCACTCCCCTGGACCGCGCCCGGCGCTGCCAGCAGCAGGAGCAACAGCCAGGGAGCCGCCATCGCCGCTGGGCCGCGCTCACGTGACCACGCGCAGGTCACTCTGGGAGAGGGCGGATGCAGCCTCTGCGTCTGCGCCACTCTGCGAGCTCAGTCTTGCTCCTCCCTCTCTGTGACGTCACGCTACTAAATGTGCCTAAAGCAAACCCTGCCCCACCCGGCTCCCGAGGTACGCATGCGCATTGAATCCCAGTCGGGCGTCTACCAGAGTCGAGGCTGCCTGGCCCTCCTCCATGACATCATAGAAACTGGGGCCCCGCCCCCGTCGCCATAGCAACCTAGCAGCGTTCCAGGCCACTACCAGGTGGTGGGAGTGGTCGGGACTTTCCTAGACGTAGGAGGAGCGCGCGCTCCACCGCCTCTGCTCGGTAGATCCCAGCCCACCCCCAGGGCCCCGGGCCCAGCAGCGACCCTCCGCTCACCGAGGCCCTCGAGGACCAGAACGGGGTGAGCATGAAGCCTGGCCCGCGGCTGCAGCAGGGCGTTCGACGAGGTACAGCTGAGGGCGAGGCTGCCTCTGGGGGCTGGAGCGGGTGCCCCGGGGGTGGGGGGTTGCAGATGAGGGCAGGGCCGGCGCTGGAGGGGGACTGGCGTGTAGCCCGTCTGGAGGCTGGAGCGGGCGCCCCCCGGCCCGCCGGGATAGGGAAGATTGCCAGCTCCGCCCCGGGCGGAGGCGGGGGCCTGTGCCTTACTCGGGTCCCTCCGCAGGGGTAAAGGCCGTCCCGAGGCCCCTGCAGTCCACCTACCCCAGGCCCGGCCGCCTGCAGCGCTACCTGTGCAGCGGGGAGTTCGACCAGCTTTGCGACTTCCCCATATTTGAGAGCAACTTTGTCCAGGTGCCGGTCCAGCGGCAGCCCTTACCCCCAGCGAGTGAACCCCCCCAGCGTCCGCACCCCATCTTTATCTGACACCCAGACCTCCCCCCCACTCTCTTCCCCTGGGGCCTCCAGCTCCGGCCTCTCCATCCATGATCTTGACCTGTGACCCTCTGCCTCTAGGTTACTCGGTTCGGAGAGGTAGCCAACAAGGTGACCATGGGTGTGGCAGCCACCAGCCCGGCCCTGGAACTGCCCGACATACTGTTGCTGGCCGGGCCTGCCCCGGGGAAGGGGGGCCTACAACTGTTTGAGTGAGGACCCCCCCATAAAACCAAACCCCCCTCCAGTCGGGCTCACCTAGGGAGGGGAGGAGATGTCCTGACCCCTATGGGCACTTCCCTGGTATACCCCCAGCCCTCAGCTCCTGGGCTCGAAGGCTCCAGGCAGGAAGACCCCACTGCACTCTGGCTCAGCCTCAGTCTCCCTATCTGTAAGATGCCTTGCCAGGTAGCTCGTGAGGTCCAGGAGGCCACACTGAGGAAGCAGCCCGTCGACGGGGCGGTCAGCGTCCTGACCCATCTAACCCCTTTCCCTCATGGCAGATTCTCAGATACGGTCTGCACCCCCCCCCCAAGTCTTCCTGCCTGATAGCCTGCCTCACAGTGGGTGCTCTCCAGCTGTTACGGGGCCCTTCTAAAATGAGCTGGCCGCTAGGGGGCGCCATGGTGTGCCGAGCGCTGGGCCTGGAGTCGGGAAGACTCATCTCCCCGAGTTCAACTCCAAGCCCAGACACTAGTTTTGAGAGCCTGGGCAGGTCACTTCACCCCATTTGCCTCGGTTTCCTTATCTGTAAAATGGGCCGGAGAAGGAAATGCCAAACCACTCCAGTATCTCTGCCTGGGGTCACGGAGAGCCAGGACTGAAATGACTAAGGAAAGCCTTGGAGGAGTTTCTAATGGGGGGACAGTCAGACTAGGGGGATGGCCTGCCCACAGCCCTGTATAAACAGGATCAGCTGGAGCTGAGCACCGAGGAAGTTGGGAAAGGCTGCTTGTGGGGAGGGATGTCGGAGGGGCTGCCTCTGGAGGGGTCGGAGGAGATGTCCACCCTGCAGGAGCTTGCAGCCTAGTCAGGCTGGGGCCTGGGGGAATCATCCATCTAGACATGGAAGGTCCTCAGAGACCACCTAGGCCAGCCCCGCCATTTTACAGATGGGGAAACTGAGGCCCAGGGAAGGGCATGGCTGAGGCGGATTTTGAAGCCAGGTCCTCTAACTTGGGAGTGAATGTTCTTCACCACCCTCCACGTGCTCCCCCATCTGCCTCCCGCCCCCAATGATGAGAATGCAGGGCCTCTTACTGGTGCCTGGGCATGGGAGCGGGTCCCTATTCTCTTGCGCCAGGGCCCCAGCTGATCTATTCTCTGGGGGGAGGGGGACAGGCTCATCCCCCTGAAGTTTGTGGAACTGTACATCCATGATGAGAAACGTCAGCAGCTGAAGGTGAAGCTGTGGTCCGGCCGCACCTTCTACCTGCAGCTCAGGGCTCCGGCCTCCGAAGACCAGGAGTTTGGCCACTGGGTTCGGCTGCTGTATCGACTTCGCTTCCACTCAGACACAAGAGTGCCCTTCACCCAGGCCCCCAGCCCCAAGGCAGAGGAGGAAGGGGCCGTGATAACAGAGGAGAGGGTGAGCTTGGCATGGGCTGCAGGGCACCCGAGTGCTGCCAGGCCCCATCACCCACACAACCTCACCCCCTCTTCCTTCTGTGTTTCCTAGTGAAGGCCAAGACACCCCACCTCTCCATTCTGTGGAGACTCGGTGTGAGATGCTGCTGTCCCTGTTACTACACCTCCCACATGGAGCTCAGACCCCAGATATAGGGCTCTGCCCCCAGTGCTCCAGATGCCACTCCACAGCCGGGCCAGGACACACGCACAGACCACCCTTCCTCCCTCCTGTGGACATGAAACAACCAGAGAGAGACCTCTGTTCCCTGCACAGAGGCAAACAGAATACCAAGTCTAATAAAGATTCCACATGTCAGAACCAAGGGCTGTGCACGCACTTAGCTGGAGCACAGGGCCAAATGTGGGCCCCCCAACAAGGCCATTGTGCCCTCTGAAAACACAACACCCTGGGGGCCAGGATGGAGTTGCAGCAGCACCAGCCGTGGAGTCTGGAATTCCGCCTGCCCTCCATTCGTCCATCCATCCATCCATCCATCCATCCATCCATGTGGTAGGCACCAGCAGCAGAAGTCCTGAACTCCTCCTCCCTCCCTCCCCTCCATTCCCCCATCCATCAATCCATCCATCCATCCATGTGGTAGGCACCAGCAGCAGAAGTCCTGAACTCCTCCTGCCTCCCTCCCCTCCATTCACCCATCCATCCATTCATCCATGTGGTTGGCAAGAGCAGCAGAAGTCCTGAATACCTCCTCCCTCCCTCTCTCCCTCCCTCCCTCCCTCCCTCCCTCCATCCATCCATCCATGTGGTAGGCACCAGCAGCAGAAGTCCTGAATTCCTCCTTTCTCCCTCCTACCATCCATCCATCCATCCATCCATCCATCTGGTAGGCACCAGCAGCAGAAATCCTGAATTCCTCCTCCCTCCCTCTCCTCCATTCACCCATCCATCCATCCGTCATGTGGTAGGCGCCAGCTGCAGAAATCCTGAGTTCCTCCTCCGTCCCTCCCCTCCATTCACCCATCCATCCATCCATGTGGTAGGCACCAGCAGCAGAAGTCCTGAATTCCTCCTCCGTCCCTCCCCTCCATTCACCCATCCATCCATCCATCTGGTAGGCACCAGCAGCAGAAGTCCTGAATTCCTCCTCCCTCCCTCCCTCCCTCCCCCCTCACTCCCTCCCCTCCATCCATCCATCCACTCATCCATCCATCCATCCATCCATCCATCCACATAGCAGACATTGACAACAGGAGCCAGAGTCAAGTCTCGTGTTTGACATAGCCAGTTGGAGGGAGAGGGGTCGCCATGGAGTAGGGTACAGGGGCAGGTTCTTCAGGGTCTCAGCAGACTGAGTGGGGCAGGAGGGGCATTGGCTGCCCTCAGGAAGGATTACTGTGGCACTGGAGAGGAGAGAAAAGGAACAAAGTCGCATGAGCATCATTATCCCCATCTTTCAGATGTTGATACTGAGTCCCAGAGAGGGAGATGAACGGCCAGGTCCCTTGTGGCCCGATTGACTTTCTCTCTGTCTCCACATCTGTGGTTTGATGCCATGGATTTGTGATTGGAGGACCTGGATTCAGATCCTCACGTCACATGTCGTCTCTGGGTCTCTGTTTCCCCATTTATAAGTTAGGGCAGGTCCTTACAGCTCTGAACCTGCCGTCTGCCTGGCTCCTGTGCTCCCCATCCCCAGTCACTCATCTCTGGTCAGTGCTGTCTCCCTGTCAGGGTGATGATTACGATCACACCCCTCCCTGATGTGGCTACCACTGTGGACCACGGGTTCCTGGCTTAGTTCACACCCTATGTCTCCAGCATTCAGGAATTGATCTGAAAGTGGTCCTCCAAGGCCAGGCAGGGCCCTTTGAGGCCATTCTACCACTGAAGAGAGAGGAAGTGGTCAAAAAGCATTTCTTTGGCTTACAGCCAAGAGGCTTGGGTTGGAATCCAAATGCTGCAGAGAACCAACATGGCAAAGAAGTCACTCCAGGCCTAGGTTTCTCCCCCTGTGAAAAGGGGAGCATACCTTCCAAGGTTCTCAAAGAATTATCAGAATACGTGTTATTATCACCAATTATAGCGTTTCTAGAGCACTACGTGCAAAGGATTGTAAATTATCTAATCTGATATTCACAACAAGCCTGAGAGGTAGGTGCTACTCTTTTCTCCCTTTTACAAATGAGGAAACTGAGGCAGAGAGTGGTTAAGTGACTTTCCCAGGATCACACAGTTAGGTATTTGATGCTGGATTTGAACTCGGGTCCTCCAGTTGCCTCTGAAAAAGGACAGAGCTGGAGAGTCCCTTAGAGGTCATCTGGTCCAGCCCTCACCCCATTTGTAAAGGAGGAAACAGGCCTAGAGGTGTTAAAGGGCCTGCCAAAACGGCCCAACCAGTCATTGACGGAGCCAGGATTTGAACCCAGACCCCTTACCTCCAAATCTTCCCCGCTGCTTCTCTGGGGAAGCTTTGCTAGGCACGGGGCCGCAGGCCACCAACCGGAAGTGCGCCAGTCGTGGCCCGCCACACTCAGTGGGCAGCTCCTCCCCCATGCTCACCTCGGACCTCCAGCCTGCATTCGGCCAGTGCCTCGCCCAGCTCGTTGACCGCTCGGCAGGAGTAGGTGCCCCCATCGAAGGGACTTGGACGGCGAATGCTGAGGGTCAGGATCCCCTGCTGGTTGGTCATTATGAACTTGGGGTCTTCGTGAATCTCCATTTGGTTCTTCATCCAGACCACCTTCGGCTGCGGTGAGAGGGAATGGAATGGATCCCTGGAGTGTGAGCTGAAGATGACCTCAGAGATCATGCGCCCTCTACAAATGGGGAAACTAAGGCTCTGGGAGGGGAGCGGCTGGGCCATAGCTAGCGAGTGGCCAAGCGAGTATTCAGTTCTGGGTCCTTGGATTCACTTCGATGCCTTTGTCTGTGACCGAGGAAACCCTCCTCTTCCCAGGTCCTGGTCCTTCTCCTCCTCCCCCAGCCCCCAGTGCCTTTGCCCACCTTGGGATAGCCCCGAACAGCACAGAAGAGGGCGGCCGTGTATCCTGCCACCACAACCCGGTCTAGCAGTGGGGTCAAGAACTTGGGGGCCGAGCGGAAGTCATGTGCCTGAAACTCCAGAGGTTTGAAAGTGATGCCTAGCAAGGACACAGGACGAGAAGGTCACCCGTCTGGCCCCTCCGGGTCTTGGACAGCGACCACCATCCCCTATCCCTTCCCCCACGCCGATCCCAGGACTGAGTAAGGCGGGACCTTGGACAGCGGCCACAGCCTCCCGGCAACTTAGGCAGCCCCTGGCCCCCAACGGCTGCACCCACCACCACGTGTCAGAGGCACGAGACTACTAGGAAAGGTTCCGTCTGCTCCAACCCCCTCCTCCTACATGCGGGGAAATGGGCAGGGACTTGGCCAGGTTGTCTGCACAGAGAGCGAGAGGGGTCAAAAATTCAAATCCAAGCACACAGTCAGTGAGGCACAGGGAAAACTAGGCTGGACTTGCAGACAAGGCTCTGAGTTCTTAACGGTGTGGCTTCCCCCCCAGCCTCAATTTCCCCATCGGTAAGATGGGAGCAATCCCACTTCCACTGCCTTCCTCCCCTGCCAGGAGGTCCCAACAGAGATCCAGTGAATGGGGGAGGAGAGGGGAGCTGGAGGCTGGTCCCGTGGAGCATGTGTGCTGGGACCTGAGCTCTGGTGCCTTCCAGTGGGTCACTCGGGGCTCCCTGGAAGGGGCCAGGAGCGGGGCCTGACCCACTCCATATGTAAATGCTGACTCTGCCCCCTCCCACGCCCCCCGCTGCAGGAGCTGGGGGAGCTGGGGTCAGCCCCCACGCACCCTGTGGGGAGGGCAGACAATACCTGTTTTGAGGATCTTGGCTGTGTTCTTGGACACACCCGGGGAGTCACTGAGCCCACAGATGTTTTCACTAAACACTCGGAAATAGTATTCATTGCCGATGATGAGGTCAGACACCGTGCACTGGGTGGGTCGATTGTGTTCATAAACAGTGAACCACTCCTGGGGGGGGGGTAGAAAGGGCCTGGAGGGATCAGAATTCTGTGCGGTAGGGGGAGCAAGACATCTGGGGGGAGACTCTGGCCAAGCCTTTTGCCCCCCAATTTTCCATCTGTGAAACAAGGAGACCCCAACCAAATCACTACCCCACCCCCCACTGTCCGGGCCTGTGCCCTCCCCTCACCATGGTCTTCTTGTCAGCCTTCTGGACAAAGTAGCCGGTGACCTCACTGTTACCATTGTCCTTGGGGGGCTGCCACTCCACCAGGGCGTTGGAACCCCAGACCTCCTTCACCATCACGTTTTGGGGAGACCCTGCCTTCTCTGGGGAGGGGGAGGAGGGGCTCCTCAATTCTCCTCAAGAGTCCTCCATCGCATCTCCTCTGCCCACTCCTCTATCCCCTTAGGCCCCCTCCCCAGCCCTGAACTGTCCTCCCCATTCCCATCTCCTCCCCATCCCCACCTCTTCACCTTCCCCACTCCCTCCCTCCTCCCCATCCCCACCACTTCACCCCTCCCCACCCCTGTTCCCCTCATCTCCTCCCCTTATTCCCATCTATCCACTTTCTCCTCATCTTCCCTCATCTCTGCCCCCCTCCATTTCTTCATTCCCATCTTCAGCTCTGCCTCTCCAGGCTCCTCTCCTCCTTTCTGACTTGCCTGATTCCCTCTCCCCACCCTTCAGTCCCTTCAACTCCCCTCCTCTCTCTTTCCTCATCCCCATCCTGTCTCCCCTTTTCTCATCCCTCAGGCAGCTCTCGCACCCACAACTCGGATCCGGATGGTGGCCGTGTCTTTCATGTTCTCTATTTGCACGCTAAGTTCATACTCCCCAGAGTCCGACCGAGCTGCCTGACGCACGAAGAAAACGGTATCCATGTCACTGGTCCGGATGTGGACTCGGGATGTGTCCACAGGAGCCCCTCCTTTTGTCCATGTCACCTGGGGCCGTGGCTTCCCCTGTGGATGATGTGAAAGGTAAAGGGATGCTCTGACTCCTGGCCCTCCCTCCCTGGCCCCTGGCCTCCCATACCTGGAAAGGAATGACCAGATTGAGGTGCTCCCCAACCTGGCGAATGTAAGTCTGCCGAAGGTGTCTTGGGAGCCGTATCTTGGGTTGTTCTGGGGGGCGGAACAGGAGTGGGAGGGGGATCAGGATTCAGAGACCAAAGAAGGACACGGACTCCAGCCCACGGTGTCTTAGGTCAGGGGTTACGGGTCAGGAGGTTGACCGTGGCTCACGGTGGCCACTGTCAGTGGGAGGTCAAGGCCGGCCAGTCACTCTCTAGAAGTGTGACTAGTTGTGTCCAATGGGAGGCATCCGTAAGAAGTCAATGGTCACCCACAGGTGACCTCAGTATAGTGCTCTTGGCCTACAGTAGCCAGAGTCAGAGAGTCGGTGGGAGACCTAGTGAGCAGACGTCTGGACACACCTCTGGAGGCCTCTGGTCAGTATCAGTGGCAGGTCAGTGGGTCACTCACGTGCAATCACCCGGATGGTGACCGGCTGGACGAGGGTGGCTGGCTCACTGCGGCCAGCGATGTTGACCCCAACCACGCGGAAGAGGATTCTGGCTCCCGTGGGCAAGTCTTTGACCGTGAAGCCACAGCGCTCCACAGGCTCAGCGTTGGCCACAACCCAGTCTTCAGCTGGGAGGGGGGAAGGAATGCAGGCGGCTCAGGACTCTCCTACAGCCCCTGGCCAAGCCCACCCCCCTCACCATTCCTCTTGATGACTCCCAGACTACAAGGAAACATGGCACCTGGAGGTGGGAACCCCCAGAGGGTCAGGGAGAAGCAGCCTCCCAGGTCACTCACAGCCTTCCAAACAGTACTCCACGATGTAGCCATCGATGCCCCCGGCCCCAATCCTGTCTGGTGGGCGCCACTTGAGTGTGGTGGTAGTATCAGTGACGTCTTCCACTATTAGATGTGTTGGCTTGCTCGTGGGAGCTGCAGGGAGCAGAGGTCATGGATCAGGGGCGAGAGCAGGGGAGAGTGGGAAGGGGTCCAAGAGGTCAGCCAAGGGAGCAGAGAAGGAAGAAAGGAAGGCAGGTGGCCCTGAGGGGACGTGATGGGGTCAGAGTTAGGGTCAGAGGGCCACTGAGTCATGGATCATTGGGAGGGTCTTGGGTTATCCTAGCCTAGTCAGTTAGATAGTCTAACTGGGGTCACTGTGGGGCTCAGCTGGGAAGGACCGGAGAAATCCCCAACCCTCTCACCTTATAGATGAGGAAATTGAGTTGGCGCTCACTCCTTACCAATGGGCATGAAGGGCTTGGTGTTCATGCTCGGCTGGGAGACCCCAATGGCGTTGACAGCAAAGACACGCATCTCATACAAGATGCCCTCAATCATGTTGGTCGACTCATAGGTCGTTTCCGTGAAGACCTCAAAATTCAGCTTCATCCAGCGGTGAGAGCCCTTCTTCTTCCTCTCTATGAGGTACCCTGGAGGGCAATGGAGAGAACAGAGGCACTTGGTGGGAGTCACTGAGGTGCCATGATAAAGCCAGGTGGTCCTAAGCGGGTCTCAGGCCAAAAGGAATCAGAAGCCAGGCCAGGAGGTCACAGGGAAGTTGGGTAGGAGCACAGAAGGTCAAAGGCATCACACAAAGTCCATTTCCTAGGAACCTTTCTCTCCTACTGGCCCATCCTTGAGACCAGCTTGGGCCTGAGCCCTACGGAGGGAGTCCCAGGTGACTCACCGGTCACAGGCTGGCCACCGTCATACTTGGGGGGCTCCCAGACCAAGATGGCCCAGTCCTCCCCCACTGACGTGATCCACACAGCCTCAGGAGGGTCTGGCACATCTGGAAGGAGGGGGAAAAGGTCAGCCCTGTGGAGGCCAAAGCCGTCCCACCATCATTGCCTTCCCCAAGGCCCCTTCTGCCTCCTCCTTCTCCCAGCCCCACAGTCTGCCTCTCCCCTACCACCTGGCCTCTCTCCACCCAGCCCTTCCAAGCCCTTTCCCCACTCACCCACGACCTTGATAAAGACGGAGGCCGTGTCCTCGCCCATGGGGTTGGTGACCTTGATGGTGTACTTGGCCTCATCGGCCCGCTCAGCTCCCTCAATCACAAAGCTGCTGTTGTCTGGCCGCCGCTCCAGTCGGACTCGGCCCTCGGTGTTCGAGAACACCTAGGAAAGGAAGAGGGCGCCAGGTGAGAAACCTTTGATTCTCAGGTCAAGGATGCCAGGAGACTGAATTCAGAAATCCTGACTGTCCTAGTGGGCTGAGGCCTCAGTTTCCCAATCTGACAAATAAGGGAGCTGGACCTGATTGCCAAGCTCCTTTTCATCTTGAGTAGGATGGGATTCTGCAGATGAGGCCCTCCATGGGTGCCTGCACAAGCCTTGCTGGGCCTCAGTTTCCCCATCTTTAAGAGGGAGTTGCACTAACAATCTTTCAAGGCCCTTCCAGCACCAGATTCTAAGGTCCTGGGGAAGGTGGGCAGGAGCTGATTTCCCCTTTCTGCTGACCCAGCAGAGCCCGGGGTCAGGCACGGAACTGGCCGGCTGCCAGGAAGGCCAGTCAAGCCTTGCTGAATTCCCTTGAAAAAGGGGGAAGTGGAGAAAGGGACAGGAGCATCAGAGCTTCTTGGAGGGTCTAGCCCTTCCCTTTCCCCTTTCCTCCCCCTCCCCCTCTCCCTCCCCTCCCCTCCCCCACTCTCCTCCTTCCCCTCCTTTTTGTTTTAAATAGATAAAGAAGCCCAAAGTGAGCAGGGGGCTTGCTCCCCCAGACTCCACAGCAAGTGAGGGGCAGGCGAGGGAGGGAAGGGGAGATGCCCAAGGAAAGAGCCGTCTCCCCTGCCCCATACCTGATCCCCCTTCATCCAGGTGACTGTGGGAGGAGGCTCTCCTGCGATGGCCATATCTAGCCTGAGTTTGTTTCCAGCCACCACAATGATAGTGTTCTCGGAGGTCTTCCCTGAGCAGTCCAAGTGGATCTTGGGGGGCTCTGGGAGCAGACGGGGGCGACAGAGTTGGGTCTTCCTGAGCCCAGGACGCCCAAGGCAGCCTCCCTGCGGGCCCTGAGCACCATCAGGGGCCCCAGCCACTGCTCCTCTTAGAGCAACTGACTCTAGCCCTGACCTTCTTTGGGGACCCACAGATCAGAACCCCCAGCCCACAGTGCTCTCGGGGACCCGGGGATTCAAGAGAGCAGAGGCATCCAGCTCCCTGGCCTTCACTATCCTTGGGCACCCAACCATTCCGCACGGCTCCCAGGCCTCTCAGTCCCCCTCCCTCTGGGACCCAAAAGGCCAGCTCCTCCAGCCCCGCCCCCGCCCAGTTCAGCAGTACATACCTTGCTTGGGCACACAATCGATCTTGATCTCTGGGAGTGAGAGAAAGAGGAAGCTATTAGGAGCTTAGGGCTGGCCCCTGGGGCTTCAGCACCTCCCCATTTCATATGCCCTTGCTGCCAGGCTCGGGATGTAGGGCAGATGAAGACCAGGAGGACAGAGTCCTGAGAGGGAGAGGATAGGGAACTGGGGGGCCCCCTGGAACCCTGGGAACACCCCCTAATGGGGGCCCCCCAGGATTCCTGCAGCCTGTGAAGTGGCCAGGGAAGGCCTTTGCCTCCGTTTGACAGAGAAAGAAACTGAGACCCAGAGAGAGAATGGTTTGCCTGAGATGTGAGGGACTTGCCAATTATTAGCTCTATGACTTTGGTCACCTCTCCACACTCCACTGAGTACTTTTTCTCTAAAATTAAGGGGTTCTGTAATAAAATGACTTCCAGGGCCCCTTCCAATTTAGCATTCTGAATCACAGAATCTGAGCACTGGAAGGGACCTCGGTGACTATCTCCTCTAACTCACATACAAAGCAATGCCCACGATCTATTTCCCCGATATACCGTCCAAGTGGGCAGGGTCCCGTTTGGGCATGAAGCCTTCCAAGGAAAGGAAGCCCCCCTGCCTCTCAAGGCAGCCCTATTCCACTGTAGGGCAGCTCTCATTTTTAGGAAGTTTCTCCTATTCCAGGAGTCGTGATCCTCTTGGCTGCCACATGTCCCCACCCACTCAGCTTGCTTGAGTTTGCAGTCCGCTGAAACCCCCAGACCCTTTTCTGAACAGCTGCTGCCTAATTCTGCCTCCCCATCTTGGACTCCAAATAGATTGTAAGTTCCTCAAAGGCAAGTGCTGTCTTTTATGTCCTTAGCACTTACCCAGGGCCTGGTGCTTAATGAGTGCTTATTGGCTGGCTGACATCAGACTCACAGAATCTGAGATTTGGAAGGGGCCTCGGCAGCAGACTCATGCAAGCCTTCCATGTAAAGGATGGCCACCAGACCATATCCAAGAAGCGGTCTTCCAGTAAGAGCTGGAGAGGGCAGGTCACGCCTCCCAGGCATCGCATCCCACTGGGGAAGTGAAGTGTAAGAGGTCACATTGACCTCTGTTGAATTTCTTTGCCTTTGCTTGCAGCATGGGCCCCTGAGCAGTCAGTCACGTTGGGGAAACCTCCGGTGAGGCCTCTGAGAGTCACATTTTAAATAATTATATATCGGATGATACAGGAAACCAATTCTACTGAAATAGTTATCAAAACACACTTTTTTTTTAAGTTTGCAGATCCCCGTCTAGCCCCTGCTCTCTGGTAAGTATCTTGGGGATTCACATAATATAGCTTTCTCTCTGTCCAGTCCTGCCATTTCTATTACAGTTGCAGGACCCCTGGTCAGTGCATTCTTATCAGCCTGGGTGGAGTTTCTTTCTAGTTCTGTCTTTCTCTGCATCCCCAGCACTTAGCAGGGTGCTGGCACACAGTAGGTGTTTAATAAGGTGTTGATGCCCCATCCCTGGCCAGGAGTCTATCATCCCAGCAGTTCCCATCCCACCTTCCGGTGAAATTGTTCAATTCCCAAATCCATTTTGGGGGAATCCCTTTTCCTCCACGGGCGACAGGGAAGAAAACCCAAACTGCTCCTCTGTGGTATTCATTCTTCACCCAAGACCTCCTAATTGTTGATAGAGCTTGGTGAATTCCTTCCAGAAATGTAGTTTGTGTTCTCCTGCAGCTGCCTCGGACCCGGACCCCCCCTCCTTCTGTGGCCCTGCTCTGGCATTCTTAGAAACGGTCTTAGAAAGCTGGGGTGGGTCCTTTCTCTTATCAACAAGGCCCTGTGATGGGGCATCAGGCACGGGGCTCCAAATCTGGGAACTTGATTCATTGAGGTCACACCCCCATTTGACAGAACAATAAACCAAGGCTCAGTGATGGAGACAGACTGTTCCAAGATCACACAATACTGAGGGACGGAGTTGGGGTGGGGGTTAGTCTCACCCAGGAAGTTGAGCTTGGCTGACAAGGTCAGGGCAAAGCCATCCGGCACAAATGTGTAATCGCCCTCATCCTCAGGATGGACATCATTGATGACCAGCTTGTGGCATCTGGAGGGGAAACATGGACTGTAGGATGCCGGGAATCAGAGCTGGGAGGGAGCTATGCCATCCCATACCACAGATGCAGAGAACCTGAGGACAGGGAGGGGTCCTCCAGTGTCCCTCTCCCTTTGAGTCTTAGACTCCCCCTCCCCCCATGGATGGCCACTACCCCCCCGCCACTGGACACAGCCAGGCCACAGGAGAGGCCACGTGGTTTACATGGAATTCTCAGGACCACAGGGTCCCACCTCATTTACAAGCAGCCCACAGGCAGGTGGGGGAGTGAGGACCCATGTGCAGAACAGCCACATTCCATGGGGTTTAGGCAAATGATTAGGTTTGCATATGACACTGTGATATTTATAACAGGTGAGAGATACCTATGCCCAGGCCCAGAGGCCTTCTCCCTGTGCCCCTCACCCCACCCCTCAGGTTGTGGCCCCCTGGAGCCCCTGGGATGACAGGCTGCTAAGTGGGAAGGGGCCTGAGATCACCGAGGTCTGCTGGGAGTGGACAGGGAGCCAGATGTGGGTCAGCGGTCCCTGCCTCTTACCCTGCCTTGCCGCCCCCACAGGGCTGCTGTAAATATTTCCATTTCTATTTCTATCCCTGCTGACTCTCCCAACAGAGGCAGGACCTGGGTTATACTCGGTCTATCTCCCTGGAGCTGTGCCCAGAGAAGGCACCGATAAATGCCGGCTGACTGGCCAGACTGCTCTGGGCCTTGGTTTCCCCATCTGTAAAGTGAGGGGTTGGACTTGGCACACAGTGTGGGCATGCTTACATAGGTCCAAATGGTTTCCCCATTAGAGCATAAACCCTCTGAGGGCAGAAATGTTTCGCTCCTGTTTTTACATCCCTAGCACCTAACGTAGAGCCTGGCTAACAGTGGGCATTTAGTAAATACTTCCTGACTGATTGATCAATAGGGAACTAGGAGGCACCGAGGATCAGAAAGGCCTGAGTTTAAACTCTCCCTCAGCTTCTTCCTCACTGGGTGACCCTCCTGTCAGCCTCAGTTTTCCCATCTGCAAAGTAGGGATCATGCACAAGAGAATCTTGTAACTGGGCACTGCCTTCCTACAAGCAGGGCCCTAGAGACAGGGATTTCATTGGGACAGGGAATTAATTCCCTGAGGCGATGCAGGTCGCTGCCTTCTCAGGAGCTGCCCGGAGCACTGGAGGCTGGCCATCTGCCCACAGTCACACGGCCAGGACTCCCACCCAGCTGCCAAGGTCAGCTCTCTGGGCTCCATTTTGCACAGGAAGTACCTGAGCCCCGCCAGCCATCGAGGGCAATCAGACTAAGCTTCACCATGGGGTCATTCCCATCCTCCAGGAAGGGGGAGCCTGGCCCCCTTTCTACGCTGGGGCACCGCGGATGGTTAGGAAGCTCTCCGTGACATCAGGCCTCAGCTGTCTCTACTCACCGCACCAGCTTCTGCCCTCTGGAGTCCAACAAACAAGCCCGATCCTTTCTCCCCAGGACAGCCTTTCAATTCCAGAACCCAGCCCTCATGTCCCCTGAGTCCTCCCTTCTCTGGGCTCACCAACGTTCTGCTTGGCCCCGGGGCAGGGCTAAGAGCAGCCAGTGCCAGCTGCAGAAGCAGATGCGGGATCTACACTAGACAAACCCGCGAGCAGTGACAGCTGTGCCCCTGTGGACAGAGTCTGGCTAAACCGAGTGGCCCCAGAAACTCGCCCTGCCCTGTCCGGAGGTGCTCCCTCCCTCTGCACACAGCGCTCGGCCTCCCGGGGCCACCATGCCCAAGGCCTTGGGTATTCTTCCAAAGGATGGGCTGGAAGTTGGGGGAGAAGTGGGGAGAGCCCCCAAGCAGGGGCTGCCGGCCCCTCTCGCCTCTTACCGGCCATCATGGGTGATGCTGATCCTCTTGCTGGGTCGCACTTCCATGCCATTCTTGTACCACTTTCCGGTCACCTTCTCATCAGACACCTCACACTTGAACACGGCCTGCTCGGAAGCCTTCACCGTCAGGTCTGCAATGCCCTGAAGCACTTCCAGCTGCTTCTCTGGAGGGAGGGAGGGAGGGTATGTTCAGGTATCAGCTACTCCTTGAGCCCTGGATGGTCCCAGTGGTGACTGAATGTGCGATCTGCACACATTAGGTGCTTAATAAATGCTTACTAAATTGAGTGGAATTAAACTATCCACTCTTTGGGAGCAGAGATCTGACATAACAGGAGGGCTGTCTCCCTCATAAGTGAGCACAGGGCCCTGTACACAGTTGGTGCTTAATAAATGTGTATGGTTGGGGCAGCTAGGTGGTGCAGTGGATAGAGCACTGGTCCTGAAGTCAGGAGGACCTGAATTCAAACCCAGCCTCAGACCAAACACTTGACACTTACTAGCTGTGTGACCCTGGGCAAGTCACTTAACCCCAATTGCCTAAAAAGCAAAAAAAAAAAGAAAGAAAGAAAGAAAGAAAAAGAAAGAAAGAAAGAAAGAAAGAAAAGAAAGAAAGAAAGAAAGAAGAAAGAAAGAAAGAAAGAAAGAAAGAAAGAAAGAAAGAAAGAAAGAAAAAGAAAGAAAGAAAGAAAGAAGGAAGGAAGAAAGAAAGGAAGAAAGAAAGGAAAAAATGTGTATGGCATGAAATAGAATCCCTCTGCTAGACTATGACCTCCCTGAAGGCAGGAACTTGGTGTTATGTAAAATTCCTGTCTCCCCCAACACTGAGCACAGGGCCCTGTCCACAGTTGGTACTTCATAAATGGTGGTTGAGTTGAACTCAATTGACTAGAAGATGAGGCCTTCTGAATTTCAGCCCCCAGAGGCCCTTTGGGGACCTCTGAATCTTTTCTTCTTCCCCTTGGCTTTGCTGTCCTGGAGGTGGTAGTTGGGAGGGAGCTCCTTACACTGGGCAACCCCAGCTAGGTGCACTGTCCCACCGGACCTGCATGCCACAGCCAAGGCAGACCCCGCTGGCCCAGGCTCCAGCCCCTCCCTGGGAGGGGCCCCCTTACCCTCCACAATGAGATCTGCCTCACACTGGCCACCATTGGTCACGACCATGTAGCGGCCTCTGTCCTCTAGGGTGACCTCCGTGAAAATCAGCAGGTGTTTCTTCCCATTTTTCTTGAAGCGGTAGTGAGCCTTGTAGGAATCCTCCTTGGTCATTTCCACACCGTCCTTCATCCTGGGAGGGAGCAGAGGAAAGGGGAGGCCTCAGATCCAGGGAGCACAGAGGGCATCGGGGCCACATGGGAGATAGGGAATAAGAAGGGGTGTTTGGGGCTCACGGTGAGGGTGTTGGGGCCATTCAGGGTGGGGAGGGGAGTCCCAGGATAGGAGCTGGGCTTGTGCATGGCTTGGGTCCCTGAGGTGCACACTAGTTAGATGTAGAGGGGTCAGGAGCACAGGGAAAAGGCTAGGGACCAGGAAGGAGCCCCAACATCACTTGCCACATGAGCTGGGCTTCCTCCTCTGACACCTCCACCATCATCTCCACGCGGTCACCCACAAAGACCTGCTGGTCCTCCAGGGGTGTGATAATAAGGACTGAGGGCTCTGAGGGGCAGGTGAGGGATGGTCAGTGGCGGGAAGCCCCCCTCAGCCCCTCGGCATGCCCCCTCTGCCTGCCCAAGCCCCCCGATGGTCAGTGCTCCCCTCAGCCCCTTGGCATGCCCCCCCGCCTGTCTGAGCCCCCCACCTTTGACAAAGACCTCTGTGACACACTTCTCATCCTTGACAGCCGCTTCGTAGGTGGCATCATCGTCCAGAGTGCACTTGTTGATGGTGAGAATCCTCTTCTTGCCCACGTTCTCAAACACGTACCTGGCCCAGCCGCAGGGATGCTGAGGGCCCCTCCAGGGGCACCAAGCCCCACCCCTGAGACCCCCTCCCCACCTCCGTTCAGCCTCGTGCTCACTGCAGCCTCTGACATGCACCACTGTACCTCCCAAGGTCCCTTCGGGTTCGGTGTGGGCTTCTCTCACTGCTAAGGCCCCACCCAACTGTAACTTCATTCTGGGGTTAATGAGCAGCTCAAGCCTACTGGGTTCTGTGCTATCACCCCTCTATCAACTCCGACATTCCACATTCTGAGGGCCCTCCAGCTCTGACCTTCCCTGCTCTGACCTTCCCTGTTGTAAGGCCCCTCCAGCTCTGACCTTCCCTGTTCTAAGCTCCCTCCCAGCTCTGACCTTCCCTGTTCTAAGGCCCCTCCATCTCTGACCTTTCCTGTTCTAAGTTCCCTCCCAGCTCTGACCTTCCCTGTTCTAAGCTCCCTCCCAGCTCTGACCTTCCCTGTTCTAAGGTCTCTTCACCTCTGACATTCTCTGCTCTGACCCTTCCTGTTCTAAGGCCCCTCCAGCTCTGACCTTCCCTGTTCTAAGCTCCCTCCCTGCTCTGATCTTCCCTGTTCTAAGCTCCCTCCCAGCTCTGACCTTCCCTGTTCTAAGGCCCCTCCAGCTCTAACCTTTCCTGTTCTAAGGTCTCTTCACCTCTGACTTCCCTGTTCTAAGCTCCCTCCCAGCTCTGACCTTCCCTGTTCTAAGCTCCCTCCCAGATCTGACCTTTCCTGTTCTAAGGTCTCTTCACCTCTGACATTCCCTGCTCTGACCCTTCCTGTTCTAAGGCCCCTCCTAGCTCTGACCTTCCCTATTCTAAGGCCCCTTCAGCTCTGACCTTCCCTGTTCTAAGGCCCCTCCATCTCTGACCTTCCCTGTTCTAAGCTCCCTCCCAGCTCTGACCTTCCCTGTTCTAAGGCCCCTCCAGCTCTGATCTTCCCTGTTGTAAGTCCCCTCCAGCTCTGACCTTCCCTGTTCTAAGCTCCCTCCCAGCTCTGACCTTCCCTGTTCTAAGCTCCCTCCCAGCTCTGACCTTCCCTGTTCTAAGGTCTCTTCACCTCTGACTTCCCTGTTCTAAGGCCCCTCCTAGCTCTGACCTTCCCTATTCTAAGGCCCCTTCAGCTCTGACCTTCCCTGTTGTAAGTCCCCTCCAGCTCTGACCTTCCCCGTTCTAAGCTCCCTCCAGCTCTGACCTTCCCCGTTCTAAGCTCCCTCCCAGCTCTGACCTTCCCTGTTCTAAGCTCCCTCCCAGCTCTGACCTTCCCTGTTCTAAGCTCCCTCCCAGATCTGACCTTCCCTGTTCTAAGCTCCCTCCCAGCTCTGACCTTCCCTGTTCTCCAGGCTCTCCCAGCCTTTGTCACCCCCCCCCCCCGGACTCACTTGCTGCTGTGCTTGATCTCCTGCCCATTCTTGTACCACTTGAGGGGCAGGTCAGGGTCACTGATCTCTACCACCAGCTTAATCTTGCTCCCCTTGTCTACCTGGTAAGCCGGGTCCAGCTTCATTGTGAATGCTGTTGGGACCAAGGGGCTCAGGGACCAGCCCCCCTGAGTTGTGCCTCCCCAGCAGCTCCCCCTCCTCAGCTCTCCCCCTCCCCAGCTCTCCCCCTCCTCAGCTCTCCCCCTCCCTGCCATCCCCAGGCTCTGACCTGAGGTCTTCTTGACCTCGACCTTGGCCTTCTTCAGGCGCTTGAGCATCCCGCGCAGATCGGTGATGCCATACTGGAAGGCTATTCTCTCGTACTCACTCTTCTTGGCGCCTTTCAGCAGCTCCCAGACCTCGGGGGGCAGGCCCAGGTCATCATCATCCTTCTTTTTCTTCTTCTTCTCTTCCACCACCTCCCTGGAAGCCCAGACGGCCAGAGGCTTGGAAGCAGCCGGGAAAGGAGAGGGACATGGGATGGGGAGACGGGCAGGGGAGCGGGGAAGGGAGGAAGAGAAGGGAAAGGGGATGAGGAGGGAAGGGGAGGGGGCAGAAGAGGGGGGAGGGGAGGGGAAGGGGAGGGCCAGGGGAAGGCCAAGGAGGGGGGAGAGGAGGGGGAAGGGGAAGGGGGAAGGGAGGGGCAGATGAACTTCCCTACGAAGAGCCCGGAGCCTGCTAGACCCACCCACCCCCACCCTCAAGGACAGACCCCGGCCCCAGCTGGGGCCGGGAGCCAGCAAGGACGCCAGCAGAGGCAGCGGGGTTCCCGTGGGGCTGCAGAGTAGGCTGAGGGGGCTGCCTGGGGCCTTACCTTTTCTTTAAAAGACCGCTGAAGTCCAGTTCTCCCGCCTTTTCAGGCTTCCCTTCACCTCTGCAGGGAGAGAGACTGTTAGGTAGTGTGTTACAGCACTTTAAGGTTTGCAAAGTGCTGTACAAATCATTAACACGTTTTATTCTGGACAGCCCTGGGAGGGAGGGGGTTGCTGTTATTATGCCCATTTTATAGATGAGGACATGGAGGTCAAATGACTCATCCATGCCCACACAGCTAAATCTGAGGCTGAGACCTGAATTCTGGGCTTGGGGATTCGAGGTCCAGGGCTTTGTGCACCCCACACTCCTAGATGCCTCAGCTCTGGGATTTCCCCTCCTCTTTGGACTTCTTCCCCTCCGCCAGGCCCCAGACCTCCCAGTCGTGGCCATCGACACCCCTGGGGCAGAGTGAGAGGACGTGTGAGGAGATTAGGGGCCAGCGGCACCTGCCACCGTTGGCTTCCTAGGGGGAGAGCAGGGCTGGGGGGGGTCACTCACGAGCGCTTGAAGCTCTCCAGGATGTTACCGCTGTCCTGGCTGGGGACTGAGGATAGGGGATGGGATAGGAGTGAATGAGGGTCCTTCTTTTTCCCCTCCCTCAGGGTCCTTGCCGCCCCTGGACTCTCCCCCATCCCCTCTGCCGGGGACGCTCTTCTCCCACTGGGGCGCCAACATGGCAGCCCTTGATAAGGCATGACATCACACCTTCCACATCGATGTTGAAACTGCAGCTGTCACAGGCATCCTTGGCCTTCACCTCGCACCGGTATTCCCCCCGGTCACCCACAACCACCTTTCTGATCTGCAGCTCGGCCGTGTACACCTGAGTAGACCGGAGAGAGAGCCTCAGGCTTGGTGGCCCAGGCAGGGCCTGAGGGGCCTTGGCATTCTGTCGTTCCCTCGGGAGCCGCTGGCTGCCTCCCCTGCCTGGCCCAGGAGAAGGCCAGTCACTCCTCTCTCAGACTCCTGCAGTCTGCCCTAGGCTTCTGCTGCAGAAATCCCAGCCCCAAATACAGTGTATTAAGCTCAAGACTAAAGCCCAGATCAGCCCCTGCCCTCAGGGGGTTTCATTGCCCTGGGGGAAATGTGTACATAGGGATAGGGACCAGAACTCTGATTCTGTTGGTACTGGGAGTAAGAACATGGCTTAGAGCACTGGCCCAAGGTCACACAGCCAAGTGTGTCTCAAAGGTGGCCCCAGGCTCCCTACCCCACCACTGCTGCTCCAGGCCCCCCCACCCCTCCCGCTTCTGTGGCCCCTCCCTCTCCCCCCACCCCGCTGCCCCAGGCCTGGCCCACCAGCCTCATGGCATTCTGAGGCCCTCACGTTGCTCTGCTGGTCATGGCTCTCCTTGATGCTGAATCGGGCACCACTCTTGCTGCCCAGTTCTAGCCACTTCCCTTTGAACCATCTGATGACAGGCTGTTCGAGGAGCTCCTTCCCGTTCACCTTGGCTGTGATCACCACGTCCTTCCCTGGGCACCAGGGGACAGGATGTCAACCAGGCAATCTCCAAGGTCTAAGGCCTTCCCACCCTGCCAGGCCCCTGGATCCAGGGCTTATCCTGGCTTGGGGGGCCGGGCACCTCAGACACCCAGGTATCTAAGCCGCAGCTTCCTTCAAGGCCCCGGGCATCTGGCTCGCTGGCAGTTCACCCTAGCCCCTGGGGACTCAGGTGGCTAGCCCCTGTACCTCTCTGGGGCACCCAGGTATTCGGCGCCTCAGCCTCTCTCAGCCACCCAAGCGTGGGGGCACCTCGACATCCCATTCCCCAGCCCTTTGGGACACTGGGACCTCCCTTTTCCCCAGCCTCTCCCGAAGCTCAGCTTCAGCCCTCCTTACCTGCCTCTACAGACACAGTATCTGGTTTCTTCAAGAAGATCCCAGTGGGCTCCTCGGCAGTGGGTGACTGGTCCTCAGGGGGCGACTCTAGGTTATAAATGGGCCTTTCACTCTGTGAGTCAGGGGCTTAGTCAGAGAGCCGAGGAGGGAGTGAGGTTACTTTATTTGAGGTGATTCCTGAGACCTGAGAACTGAGGGCACACCTCCCCCCACAGCCAGTTAGTCTAAGTGGCTGCTCCATGCAAGGGCAGGAGATGCAAAAAGAGGCACAAGACAGTCTCTGCCCTCAAGGAGCTTACAATCCCTGACCCACTCCGTGCCTCAGTCTCCTCTGCAGAATGAGAGGGTGGACAAGTCCCTGACCCTCACTCAGCCTGATTTTTCCCTTCTGTAGAATAATGTCCCTGACCTCTGAACTTCAGTTTCCCCGCCTGCAAAATGAGGAGGGTTGGGTTAAACTACAGAATGTTGGGGCGGAAGGGAAGATAAGGAACCGATTTTACATCTGGGGAAACTGAGGGCCAGAGGGCACTGGGGTCATGCTCACAGTCATAAAGCCAGGCAGAGTCAGGATTTCTCCCTCATTCTCTGATCCCCCAGTTTCCAACATTTATTAGGCACTAATGAATCAATCAGTCAAGAAGCACTAGCTCAGTGCCTGGCACATAGAAGGCTCTTAATAAAGGTTTATTGATTGATACAAAGTAACCCAGGGAAGACCACAGGTTTACATACAGGCTGGAGTGAATGCCTACAAGGTGGATACAAGGTAGCTCTGAAGCTACAAAAACAAAAATGCCTCCACCCAGCCTCCGGGAAGCTTTCCTCGGCTAGGCTGGGGGGAGGGGAATGGGCATTATGACTAGAATACCAGTAGTGGACGACCTCAGTGGTCATCGACTCCCCACACAGAAGACCCTCCAGTGATGGGGAGCTCACTACCTCTCGTGGCATCCCATCTCCCTCTTGGTTATCTCTAATTGTTAAGAACTGGCTCCTGACTTCAAGCCTGAATTGGCGTCTTCCCCCCATGGCTCCTTCTGCCTTAATCATTGGATCATGAAGTACTTTGCTAATAATTTCGGCAGAACTTAGTGCATAATTAGGCATCAAATCAGTGGCAGACAGCTAGAGATGAAGGAGGGATGGAGGGGGAGGGGGACTAGAATGGGGAGGACTGAAGGACTGGAGGAGGGGAACTGGGAGAGGCTGGGAAGCAGGAGAACTAGGAGAGGGGAGAAAGACTTGGGGAGGGGAAATGGAAAGCAGAGGAGGAGGGAGAGTGGAAGGAGAGCAGGACAGAGGAAAGGGACCGGGGGAAGGGGACTGGGAGAGAAGAAGGAGAAGGGGACTATGAGGGAGAAAAGAAGGGGGAGGGCACTGGGAGGAAAGGAAGGGGAGATTAGGAAGCTTCCTGGAGCAGAAGGTAGGAAGGCAGGACAGTGCTTGGTATCCAGTGAGCCTCTCTTGGACAGACCCCCGGAGCTCACTAGCTACCTGAGGCCTCTGTTTTTCCATCCTGGGACTCAGGAGCTTAGGAGAGTGCTTGGCAGGGGCACAACCCCCCCCACCCCCAATCAAAGTGGAAAACCAGTGGCCTTTTAATACCAGGACTGGTTTTTCACCTCCCTAACCAGTCACCTCCCTCCACATTCACCCAGGTCTGCTGGATCTCTTCAGAATTTGGTGCAGGGAAGGAGGAGGCAGGGAGGCAAGAGCTCAAAGATCTGGGGGCTGGGGACAAGAGGAATCATGTATACAGGAAATGGGGTGTAGAAATCTATCCTGCCCTACAGGAAAATAGAAGGGGGAGGCGATAAGAGAAGGGAGGGGGTGATAGAAGAGAGGGCAGATTAGAGGAAGGGGTATTCAGAATGCATGCTATCTTGGGGTGGGGGGAGGGGGGAGATGGGGAGAAAATTTGGAACTCAAAATCTTGTGGAAATGAATGTTGAGAACCAAAAATAAATAAATTAATTTTTAAAAAGAGGGGTCGTGGAATCAGAGCATCCTTGATTTAGAGCCAGAAGAGACCTCAGTAGTCATGAAGTCCAACACCCTGGTTTTACAGATGAGGAAACTGAGACCTAGACAGGGGCTCAGAGCCAAGTATCTGAGGCAGGTTTAGGATCTAGGCTTTCTAGAGGTTAGAAGGAGCCTGGAACAATTTGGTTTCCAAAGGTCTCAGGAGCAGGAAGAAAAACTGGGAATAGGGGTCCTCCAAAGTTTGGGGGCTCAGAGAAAGGAGGCTCAGAGGTTTGAGAGGCTCAAGGACAAGAAGGGGAGCCAGGCCCCCCAAATTCAGAGGGAGTCTGTGGAAAGGAGGGTGAGGATTGGGGGAACAGACACTCAACAGTGTAGATGGCTTAGGAACCAGTAGGTTAGAGAGGAGACACAATCTCTGGGCCATGTCCTTGGGGTTCCAGATGGGAGGAGAGCCATATCTGCAGACATCTCTGGGCCAGAGGTGGGGCTGAGGCTGGGCCAGGGGTGTCTCACCACTGGGTGGGGCAGGCGCAGCCTCCTTCTCAGGGGTAGGCTTTTTGGGGACATCCTTAGCTTTGGCAGCAGGCTTCTTGGCAGCTGTGAGGGGAAGGAGGCAGAGAAATGTCGCAGAACCAGGGAGCCCAGGAGTCCTAATCCTCTGGCCCTCATCCACTCCAGGACCCAGGGGTGCTGAGCACAGCCCCTTCCCTTCAGATGTCCCTCAGCACCCAATCCTGGATGGCTCCTCAGACACCTGCTTTCCCTCGCTTCCTCCCCCCAGAATCTTACCATTCTCCAGTGACAGAGGGCAGGGCCAGCAGGATCAGGGAGGATCCCCCCAAATAAAGCCTCTGCTCCTTCCTCATCCCCGCCTAAGCCCAGGCCAACTGGTTTTGACCTTTTCCAGATGGGCTGGCCTGGGGTATAATTAGCTTGATCCAAGGTCAGGTAATTGGACACCCATGTGCTGAGCTCAGCATCCAGCACCCAGCACTCAGGACCCACCCAGCACCCAGTGCCAGCACCCTGCTCGGACCCCCTTCTCCCATTGAGTGCAAGGGAGCTCCTTCTCCCCGATGAGGGGGCCCTTCCCTTACATACAAGGGGGCTCCCTCCTCCTACCAAGAACAGGGGCTCTTTTCCCTACATTTCTTACACAAGGGGGCTCCTTCTCCTCGATGAGGGGGCCCTTCCCCTACATACAAGGGGCTCCCTCCTCCTACCAGGGACAAGGGCTCTTTTCCCTACATTTCTTACACAAGGGGCTCCCTCCCCCCACCCTGGGAAGAGGCTTTTCCTGTGCCAAAGGATCCCTCCCCATCCTAGCCCGAGGATCCTGCTCTTTCCAGCCCTTAGCCTCCAAGCTCCCCTAATTCCACATTTCTTTTTCCTTGCCCCAATCATCTTCCTCTCCTAGACCAGGGTTGTCCTTCCCATGTCCCTTCCAACCCTGGGGCTCCTAGCACTGACAGGGAGCACGCCCCTTCCAGCCTCCCTTTCAGGAAGAGGTTGGGGTGAGGGCTTGGGGGGTCCCCACCTGGTTTGGGCTCCGGCATCTTAGCCTGTGGCCAGTTGGGAACCTTCTGGAGACAACAGGACCTGGGATGGGTGGCAGGGTAGGGTTTTAAGGAGGCTGGAGGCTCCCCAGAGACACCTGACTCAGCTCCCACTCCCCACCCCTTTCGAATTCCCCAGACGTTCTCTAAAGGGCGAGAAATAACAGCTGGGGCGGGGGGGGGGGGCGGGGGGAGGATAGCATGCCTGCCTGGCTCCTGGTGGAGGCCAGCAACAAGATTCTGGTCTCTGAGGCAAGGGGAGGGGAAGGGGGAGAGGGTTTTGAGGGTCAGGACACCTGGGTCTCAGTGGGAGGCCACAGGCAGGGCTGGGGAAGGGGGCACCTGAGTACCTACTGTTTGGGAGCTGTGGAAGCAGGTTACCTTGGTATGGGGGGTAGGGCTGGGATATCAGGACAACTGAGTCCTTGAGGGAGACAGGATTTAGGGTATCAGACCTCTGGCATTCTTTTGGGATAGGGTAGGGCTGGGGGCCCAGCCGCCCAGATTTCTGCAAGTCAGGCATCTTCAGAGAAACTGGACCTCCTGGGGAAACTAAAGCCAAGTCCCCAGGGTCAGTGGGGAGGGCCAGGTTTCTTGGAGTGGGCACCAAGCCCCAGGTTAGCATTGAGGGCTGGCTTGCGCCAAGGTGGCCAGCATTCCAGGGACCCCTCTTTGCCTAGCGGTGACCTGCTTTTTCCAGCTGGGGTGCAGAGAACTTCCTTAGGTTTTCACTGCTGGGGGCCCCACCCCAGAGAAATTTTATCTCAGCCCAGCTGCTGTGGCTAGGCCATCTGGCCTAGGGTGCCCCACCCCCAGGGTCTCCAAGTTTCTACGGTCCTCACCCCCAGCTCCCCAAGGAAGGAGGGAGCCCTGGAGGAAGTGGGAGAGAGAACAGAAGGGCCCGCTGCATGGGCTGCATGCCCAAGACGCATGGGTCCCTTCCTGAGCTGGAGCCTGGGGTAGAGGGTTTGAGGAGCCAGCACTAACTCTGGCCCTGTGTCACCAAAACCAAAACAAACCCCCTTTTAACCTTAACAGGGCTGGCTCGGTGTTTGGCCAATCCAAAGTGGAATGTTTGGTGACATCATCAGTCTCCGATCAGACTCTCTCCGTGCTCAGGCATAGGGGAGCAAGGAATTGGGAGACCAGCGGAGTACAGGGTGGAAAGGGAGGTAGAGCTCATAGCAGGGAGTCTGAGAAGCCTAGGAAGAAGGGGAGACACCCCCAGGGAGACTCTGAGAGAGCCGGAGAGAAAGAGACTGCTGGGGAGGGATAGAGGGAGGGAGGAGAGAGAAGGGGGGGAGGGGAGAAGGGGGAGAGAGAAGTGGGAAGGAGGAGAAGGGGAGAGAGGAGAGAGAGAGAGAGAGAGAGAGAGAGAGAGAGAGAGAGAGAGAGAGAGAGAGAGAGAGAGAGACTGTTGGGGGAGGGATAGAGGAAGGGAGGGGGAGAAGAAGGGGGGGAAGGGGGAAAGAGAAGTGGGAAGGAGGGGGAGAGGGGAAAGAGGGAGAGAGGAAGAGAGAGAGAGGAGAGGAAGAGACCTCTGGGGGAGGGATAGAGGAAGGGAGGAGGAGAGGAGGGAGAGAGAAGGGGGAGGGAGGGGGAGAGGAGAGAGAGAGAGAGAGAGAGAGAGAGAGAGAGAGAGAGAGAGAGAGAGAGAGAGGAAAGAGGAAGAGAGAGAGACTGTTAGAGAGTGGGGGAAGGGGGGAGAGAAGTGGACACGGAGGAGTGAAGGGGGAGGGGCAGAACCAGCCAGACCAGGGTCACACTGCTAGGAAACCACCACTGAAAAAGAGAGACTTGGAGACAGAGATGGTGGAAGGGTCAGAGCAATGGGGAGGAGGATAGAGAAGCATCGATAGGGTAGAGCAGAAGCATCGAGCAGCTAGGTGGCGCAGGGGACAGAGTGCTGGGCCTGTAGTCAGGGAGACTTGAGTTAAAATCTAGCCGTAGACACTTATTAGCTGTGTGACCCTGGACAAGACACTTAACCCAGTTTGCCTCAGTTTCCTCACCTATAAAATGAGCTAGAGAAGGAAATGTCAAACCCCTCCAGTATCTTTGCCAAGAAAACCCCAAATGAGGTCATGAAGAGTCAGACACAGCTGAACAAGAATGCAGAGCGAGTGTGTGGGGGGAGTATCCTGAGGTGTGTGGCCCCAGCTGAGCTCTGGGGGTGGGGCACAGGGGAAGGTCAGACGTTTGGTGGCATTTGCTTGGGTTGATTCAGTGCTGGCAATTTCCAAAAGGAATGCCCCATGTCATGTGTGTTCATCTTTTGTTTGCAGAATTCATTACTTTGTAGGGTGAGACATGACCCCGAAGTACCTGGCAGGAAGGGGCAGGGAGGTTGGTGTCTCAGTGGGGAAGGACGAACTCTGCTTTGGCGGTCCCAGGCTCAGCCAGAGTCCTCCTGGCTTCCCTACAATGGATTCTGAGGCCAGGCTCTCTGAAGCCCATAGGAATCTAGGCCCCTCTGCACACCCCTGACCTGTCCCCTCTCCAGGTGACGTAAGGAGGAGACGTAGGGAGCACTGAGGGAGAATGGCCCCAGAACCAGCTGCGGAGGACTGTGGGAAATCCCCCTCCCCCCAGAGAAAGCTCCAGTGGGCAGGGGTCCCGGAGCCTCAGACTTGGAATGACTCCCAGAGACCCAGATGACAATAAACCCCATCGTCCAGGGAAAGGGCACTCACTACTTCAGAGGCCACCCGTACCACTTTGGGGACCCCAGAACCCTTCAGATCCCAGTATACAACCTCCAAGCCAGACAGAACTCCCTTAGGGAGAAACTGAGGCCCAGAAAAGACAACACACTCAAGATTACACAATGAGTCAGGGCCAGGACTGAAATGTCACCGAAGGAAAAAGCCAGAGAAAACTTAGGGATCATCTCGGGGGAAACCCCTTCTTTTTACACATGGGAAAACTGAGACATGGCCAAGGTTGCACAGCTTAGAGAGAGACAAGCGCCAGAGTAGGTGACCCAGGCAGCCACTGAGGGAGGCAGGATTTGAATCCAGGTTTGACGAGAGCACACACTTCTCCCGTTCTACTCCAGTGCTATATGGCTCCCCCCAGTCCAAAATCTGTCTGAGCCCTTGGCAGACCCTTATGACTTTGATTTCTCCAGGCCTGGGGACTTAGTCCGGAGCTCTGGTGGGGAGGGAGTCACCCAGGCAGGGCAAGACGGTCCCAGCTTGCATCCGCTCAGTGAGAAGGGGCCTGGACCACTGGGCCCTTAGCAGTTGGCGGCTGCAGCCCCTCATGTTTATAGCTAAGCACTCGAGGCCCATCTCCCCCAAAGTCACAGGGCATATCGGGGCTGAATACTCCTGGCCCCCCAGCCCGGGAGTGAGAGGGCTAGAAAGGGGGCTTGCTGATCTCTGGGCAAGGGTTACAGACTGACAGGGGATGGGAGGTGGTGGCGGGGCGGGCCCAGTCTTCCCCCCCCCATTCCCAAGAAGTTCGAGCTGGAATCGTCCTGGGCCAGGGATGCCTGAGGCCCTAAGACAGCCCCAGACAGGGTTTGCCTCTGGCAGAGCCTTCACCGGCTCTGGACTCAGGAGGGCGATCTTGGCCACAGCAGGAGGATCTCTGAGACACCTTGGCTCCCCAGTGCACAGGGGCCCTGAGACACCCGCCCCCCGTAGCCCGGGGCCCTCACGCCCGCCGGGGGGGCAGCAGGGTGCTGTCAAACTGGTACGTGAGTTTCCTCTTGACCTTGCGGATCTCTCCGGTCTTGGCATAGTTGCGCAGGGCCCGGGCCAGTTTCTGGTAGGTCATCCGCTTGCGGTTGCCTTTCTGCTGGCCCCAGCGCCTGGCCAGGGCCTCCTTGTGCTTGGAGGAGAACTGGAACACACCGGCGCCAGGTTCTACCCACCACACGCATTCCCGCATGTCCCCGCGGGTCAGCAGCCCCAGCAAGAACTGGTAGAGACGGAGCTTCTTCCGGGCACCTGGAGAGGAAGAACGGGCCGGCATCAGGCCGGGAGGCCCACTTTTGCATCCTTTGGGGATACCCACCCTCCAGAAGTCGGACAGTCAGCCAATAAGCAAAGGTGTAGTTGTGGCTGCTGCTGGGGGACAGGAAGCAACGAGGATTTCCTCCAAACAATTTTTTCAGACAGATTCTGCAGGTGGAAACCTTGGAGCAAGACACTGGGCAGGGGTACTGAGACTTTGGGGCAGCTTGGGGGAAAGCAGGGCAGGGAGGCGGAGCCGGGGTCCCTCCCACAGTAACTAATTCTTCCTGCTTAACAGATGCGAAACGAAACCCTGTTTACCTGCTAAGAAATGTAAATGCTCTGTGTAAGCACCCATGCAAGTCAGCAGCTTGGACTAAGTGTCGAGGGTCCCCACAGCTTTGCCCCCAAATCTGCCTGTGTCTCCCCCCACCCTCCACGTAGCTTTATAGCCAGAAGGAATCTCAGGATCTTCACGTCTAACATCTTCATCTCATAGGTGAGAAAGGAGACCCAGGGAGGGGGCCTGATTTCCCTGAGGTCACAGAGCTGGGAAACAGGGGAGCTTATTGAGGACCCCTGAGGGCGCAGCAGGACCATATCAACATGACTGTCGTTAGGGGGGACATAACAGCAGGCATATGGGGGGAGGGATTAGCTTTATCTTTATTCTGCCTGGCCCCAGAGGGCGGCACCAGGAGCCATGGGGACAAATTACAGAGACCAATTCTCCCTTGGTGAGAGGAAGAATATCCTGATAGTTATCAAGCAGTGGACTGGGTTGCCTCAACAGGTAGTGAGCTCCCCATCCACAGAGGTCTTCAAGTCAAGGCTGGATGACAACTTAGGGCCATATGCTGTAGCAGAGCACATTCTTGGTCAGCCAGAGGAGGGACCAGATGGCTTTAGAGCCCCCTTCCACTTTTGAGGCTCTGTGATACCCACTTGGAGCAGGCACTTCCTAGGGACAGGACTCTCCCATCAGACTCAGGGCCATCTCCCCTTCCCAGACCAGGGGCTCCCCAAGTCAAGTGGCTTTATTGGCCACCCCCCCCATCATACCTGCATCGGCTCCTGTCCCTTCCCCTCCAGTTGCCAGGGCCTCATCCGACTCACTGTCAGACACCTCCAGGGCTGGGCTATCCACTGGGAACTCCTCATCCTCAGATAAGCCAGGACTGGGGAACTGGGTAAATGAGGCCAGGGGCTGGAGCAGGGAGGGGGAGGTCAGAGCTTGTGGTCCGTGGCTCACCTTCCCTCCTCTCCAGGCTGTACTCCTCAAACCTACCCAGGCTCTCAGTCTTCTGACCCTTTCTATCACAGAGCTGGCAGGGACCTTGGAAATCACCTGATCCAACCTTCTCCCCATCCTCATTTTGTGATGTGCCTGGCCCCAGGTCTGCCAGCTCCAGACTTGCTCTTTGTGTCACAACATGCTGACCTGAGCCCTACACACTTCTTCCCCAGCTCATTCCCCCTCACCTGGCCTCCAAAATCCCCCTCCGGGTAGGTGCTGAGCCCTGGGCCTGGGGCCGGCTCCAGCTGCCCGATGGCGCCATAGCTGACAGGCAGGTAGGAGAGCTGGAGACCCTGGAATTGGCCAAGTGAGGCTGCCGAGGGGTCGAAGGGCTCATAGGCAGTGGCCAGGCTGGGTGGTGGCTCTGTCCAGCCCCACAGGGAGTCTGGGAAAGGCAGGAGAGGGCGCCCTGAAACTTGGCCCCCTGGCACAAAGGGGCAATTGTGGGAAGGAAAGGAAGGTCATCTTTGGCTCGAGCATTTGCATGCATAGGGAGGGGAGCAGCTTAGGAGGAGAGACCTAATGAGGATAGAACAGAGGGAGGAAGGCGGGTGAGGAAATGGGAATCCAGAGGCACAGAGCCTGGCAGAGGGAGGGATGGGTGGGGAGGAGGGGATGGACAGCTGTAGGAAGAGGCGAGTAGAATAGGGGTATGGGGAGGGGATGAAGGGCATTTGGGTGGGGGCCAAGAAAGGGAGAGAAAGCTGGAGGAGTTAGACCCACTGAGAAGGTAGGTGGGTAGTGACCCCTGGGCAGTGGGAGGGCACGGAGGGAGGGGAAGCATGTACTTACCCACCATGCCTTCGGGGTCCGTGTAGCCAGGGTGTTTGCTGCTGTCCAGATCGTAGAAGACTCCATCTGAGTACTGAGGAGAGGCACCAGGAGGGTGGTCATGACAGGAACGTCCCACCGGCCAGAGAGAGACAGAGGAGAGAGAAACGGGGACGGTGAGAGACAGAGAGAAACAGACAAAGTGGGGCGGAGACTGACTGAAGAAATAGACCGGTTGGGGAAACAGGAGAGTGAGGAAGAGGGACGTGGAGAGAGATAAGCGATGGGGTAGACAGGGAGAGACACAAGAAAGGGGGAGACGAGACTGACAGGTAACAGACGAGATCGATCAGTCGATCGGTGGAAAGTTCGTGTGGAAGGAAGAGCCCTCCTTCTAGAGAAAGGATGCTGGGACACTGGGTAACAGGAAGGCAGAACTTACCTGGCAAGAAAAGTGTGAATCCTCCAACCTGGGGAAAGGAGAAAAAGACAGAATGGGGAGAGGCGTGTCACCCCCTGCTCCGGGGGCCTGGCCTGGCACTCACCCACACCCTGGAGCCTCCAGGTCTGGTCCTGAGACCCTCTCCTCCCCAAGTGTCTGTGCCCCTGCACTGGGCTTTCTCCTTCACCTGCGTTCTGGACTCTCCCATGCTCCAGACTCTGGGTCCCCCACGCTCTCATCTTGTTCTTCCTATGTCCTTCACTTTCTCTTGTGCCTTTTCCTTACCCTGCACCCCTCCCCCACGTCCCTGTGTCTCTCACTCTTCGTGATCCCCCTGCTCCCTTCCCCCACATCCTTGTGTCCCCACTGTCCATGACCCCCTGCACCCCTCCCCCACGTCTCTGTGCCCCCCACTCTCCATCGACACTCCCTGCCCCTGCACCCCTCACTCTCCATGGCCCCCCTACACCCCTCCTCACTCTCCATGGTCTCCCTGCATCCCTCCCCCACGTCCCTGTGCCCCTCATTCTCCATGGCCCCCTGTGTACCTCCCCACATCCTTGTGTCCCCCACTCTCCATGCTCCCCGGTGCTCCTCCCCCACTTCCCTGCACCCCTCACTCTCCATGGTCTCCCTGCATCCCTCCCCCATGTCCCTGTGCTCCCCATTCTCTATGGCCCCCCTGTGCACCTCCTTGTGTCCCCCACTCTCCATGGCCCTCCCTGCACCCCTCACTCTCTATGGCTTACATTCTCCCGGTCCATGAATTTGTGTTCTTTCCTCTCGCCTATCTCTTATTCTACATCCCTCCCTCTCCATCTGTCTCCTGTGTCCCTCATGCCCCCCACTTCCTCTGTGCACCTCAATTTTTAAGTCTCTTGTTCTTCCCTGGGTACCCCTTTCTGCCTGTGTCTTGTACGCCTCACTGACTCCCATCTCCTAATCCTCTCCAAACTCTAGCTCACCAAACAGAACTTCATGGGCTCCCGATTTATTTTTTTTGAGAAGGGAGGAAGGAGTTTGGGGGGTGTGGGGAGAGGCTGAGCGGTAGTTAGGGGCTGGCACCCCAGGCTGTACATTGAGGGGTGTGAGCCTAAGCCTGCCCTCCCCCACCCCCAGGGCCCAGCCAGGGACGGGGCTTAGAACAGGAAGGGGGCACGGGGACACTTGCACGGAAATATCCCTGGGGAGATTTGCATGGGCAGGCTGAGGTGGTGAGAGTGTTTGTGGGGTGGGGGTTGGGGTGGTTAGTGAAAGTGGGAGAGAAAGTGAGGAGGGTTTTTGAGGGAATTGACCCCAGCCATGGGACAGTAATGGGTCCAAATAGACCTAGAGGAGAGATTCCAGGAAAGGGATGGAGACGGTGAGTAGAAGCAAGAAAGAGTGACCCGGGCAGGAGTGAAAGGAGAGAGAGATGCGGGAGAGGCAGGAGAGACAACGAGGGAGATGTGGAGAGATGACAGAGATGAGAGAGGCAGAGACAGGGAGCAGAGAGAGACAGGAGACAGGAGGGAGGCACAAGAGGGAGGCCAGAGACAGATGCAGAGACGCATGGAGAGACAGTGGGGAGAAGAGACCTCGCTCATGCACTCAGAGCCTTGGGGGTCCTCACTTACTGTGCAGCCTCCAGCGTGAGCATGGTGGGGCAGGGCTCTGAGGATGGCACAGGGTCTGGGCTGCGTCCTGGCATTGCCATCACCTTATAGCCTGGGAGGGGAGGGGCGGGGCCCAGTGACCTCATCGAAAATCCCCTCAGGGGGGGCCCTGGAGATGGGGGAATTGCTCAACGAGTCATGTGACTGGGGCTGGGAGGGGAGAGCTGGGCACCCGTACCACCAGGGTGGCAGGGTACCTTGGTACTTGAGGAGAGCCAGGGGCCAGGATTCCTAAATCTCCAGGGGCCGCAGGACTGGATTTAGAGAAGGGAGTTGGGGAGAGGCAGATGCCTGGTTTCCTGGGGGAGGGAGATGCCCGAGTCCTGAGGGGGCAAGACTGGGTGCTTGGGTTCCAGAAGCAGGGTTATGTCCTGGGTCTCAGATACCTGGGGCTTTGAGGGGGGTGGGATTACTAGGTTTGACACCAGAATTTTCTCTGTGACTGGAGGGTGGGGAAAGCTGGGGCTGGCTTGTGTTCCCAAGAAAGGCTGTCTGCCATACATGCACTGACCGCTGATGTTGGAGTCCTGGGCCTGGGAGACCAACCAGCGACTTTCTCAGAAGGGGAAATATCTGAACCTCCAACGAAAGGACCGGAGGTCCTGTTAAGACACTGGAGACCTCAAGGGGAGGAGTCCTAAGAGATGGCGTGACTTTGTGAAATCGGGATATTAGGTATGGGAGGGGAGAAAACGGAGCATCAGAAGCAGAAGAATGCTTGGAGATCTCGTGGGCCAACCCCATTTCACAGACGAGCAACTGAGGCCTTGCAAAAAAGGACTGTCCCAAGGTCGTCATCATACATGGAGCCTTGCAAAGCTCATGTGAAAGGGAACTTTGGGCTCACGGGGGGGTGGGTGAGTGGTGGAAGGACGCCCTTGGGCGTAGCATGAGACAGTTGGGCTGGACCTCTGAAAGCCTGCCCAGCTCCGGATCCGATTCTTTCACACCCTCTAGCCCAGACCCCAGAGCCCAGCTTCACTTCACAGGGGACGAGGAGGAGGCCGTAGAGGACACAAGTCGTCTTGTGGTCTAGCTGTGTCTGACTCCTCATGACTCCACTGGGGTTTTCTTGGCAAAGATGCTGGAGCGATGTCATTTCTTTCTCCAGCTCATTTTACAGATGAGGAAACTGAGGCAAATAGGGTGAAGTGACTTGCCCAGGGTGACTCAGCTAATAAAGTGTCTGAGGCAGGATTTGAGCTGGGGAAGATGAATCTCCCTGACTCCAGGCTTGGCACTCTGCTTCGCACCAGGCTCACCAAGAGCTTCACTCAAAACCAGGGACAGGAAGAGAAGCATCACCCCCACTTCACAGATGGCAAATCAGGGCTCTTCCAAGCCCACCAAGCACTCCCCTCCCTCTGGCTGGTGGAGGGGTGGATGGGCTTCATTACCCTGGCTTGGCAAATGACGTCTGCTTCCAGCCTCCATAGGCTGTGATTCTCTGCCCAGGCTTTGCCCCTTCCCCAGGCGAGGGATCCCGACACCCCAATCTCCCACAGCTAGTTAGGCCAGGCCTTCGAGTCACACAACTTGTCTGCCTCAGTTTCCCAGTCTGTAAAATTGGGGCATACCTACCTCCTGGGGTTATTGGGAAGATCAAATGAGATCCTCATAAAGGACTTTGCAAGCCTTGAGGAGCCGTTTAAATATCAGTACTGTCTTGTTGGGTGAGAAGCAACTTAGCCCAGCGGAACGACCGTGCCGGGTGGGGTGCGGGAGAACCTGGGCTCAGTCACTCGCTGTCCCTTCACCCCCAGACCCCCTTCCAGCTGTCAGCCCAGAGGCTGAGGAAGCCGCTGAGGCCTGGCCCCTCCAGGGATTCTGACTCTCTTGGCGTGGGAGGGTCGCGTGCTAAGTCTGGCCACCCTAAGAAAACCACTAGACAGAAGCCGAGGTTCTAGGAGTCTGAAGGGCCTCAGCCCAGTCACGACAACAATGGTGGAGGTGAGCGGGGCTGGATTCCAGGTCCCCTCCTACGTGGTTGGGGTTCACAGCATTCCAAAAGCTGCCCTGAAAAGCCCCTACCAACACTCCTAGCGGAGGGGAGAGGGCGGGTTGGGGCTCCCCCTGCAAGCTAAGGTCTGCTTCTATCCGCCAGGAGACAGCAGGCGCCGTACAATCTAGAGCCCCTCGGGACAATGCCCCAGCCCCCCATCCTAGTTACGTCTGTAGAACACACCTCACAAGTGCTCATCAGCCTCTGCTTGAAGCCCTCTATTGACGGGGAGCTCACTATCTCCAGAGACAGGCCACTTCACATGTGGAGAGCTCCCACTGGTATGAAATCCCTGCCACCCCACCTACACCTCCCTCCCCTGGGTGGCTTCAGGTCTCGGTGGGCAGCGGCCAGCAGGATTCCTCCCTCTACCCTCCCAAAGAACCACACAAGGGGAACCCAAAGCCCACAGCTTTATTGATCCCAACGTCCAAAACCATGTCCTCCATCACCAGGTGGCCGGGCCTGGGGGCCCGAACCGAGCCAGGAGCTGTTCCTGGTCATCCAGATCTTTCTGCACCTTCTTCCTCATGTAGAAGATGGGACAATCTCGGCTGCACGGGGGAGCGGGAGGGAGGCGCTGTCACCCCAGGGCCCAGCCTCCCTCGGCCTCAGCCCCTCTGGCCTGACCTCCGCAGGCACTTGGCATCCGGCCTCCCCGCCCTTGTTCTCCGGGGGACCCAGATGTCCAGGCCCCCAGCCACTATTCCCACTGGGGACTGGGACATTCTTGGCAGCTGATGCCCCTCCCTCCTTGTGGGGCCCCCAAAGCCAGTCCACTCTCCACCCCACTGAACGTCCAGATGCCCCCACCCCCGAGCCCAGCTCTAGCCCTTTCTGAGGGCTACTGGGAGGGGCTAGGCCACCGAGCCCTTCATCTTGTGCCACGCCACACAGGCCGCCACCAGCCTGCAGACCCCGGCAGCTGGTCTCTTATGCTCAGCCCCAGAAGGGAAGACTCGGGTGTCCACCCCCCTTTCCCAGTGGCCAGCGATGGGCCTGAGATTCTGGATGCTGCAGGCTGGGGGTGGGTAACGGTCCCTAGGCTTCCTCCTCACCTGTTCCCAGGACTTTGGCCTCTCTCTAGCTCCCGCCCTGCCTGGCGGTCTCCACCTGGGAGCCAGGTTGTTTGCTTGGCGGGGCCTGGCGGGTGCCGATAAGGCCAGGGCGGGGAGGGAGGAGGTGGCCTGGTGTATATCACCTGTCCTGTCCTCGTCCTGGCTCTGGCGTGGGAACCTGGCTCCCCTGGCCTTTCCCTAGGGAAAGCCCAGCCCCACCTAGCCAGGATGGGGGGGGGGCCGAGGCGATGGGGGGAGGGGGGACAGAGACCTCTGGGGGGACCAGGGAGGCTTGTCACAAGAAATTCCACAGGCCCATGCGATTCAGGACACTGAGGCACAGAGGGCCCAAGGCCTCATCTGGACACAGTGGAAAAGCTGAGTTCCACACCCAACAGTCCAGTCTAGGCTGGCTCCCCAGGGTCTGGAGCAGGGACACAGAGGCTCTGGGGGCGAGGCGGGGTACGGCGGTCCCCGTACCTGGTACAGAGCACATCCTCATGCAGACTGCCCTGGCAGCGCTGGCACTGCGTCCAAAGGCGGGAGAACCGCTCCTCGAGGGCACCCAGGTGTGCCACCTGAGGACAGAAGCAGCTGCTGGGCCCACGGAGGCCTAGGGGGCCGGGTCCGTGCCCCGTCCCCGCCTGGTGGGCCCTCTCACCCCCTCACCTCTTTCTGGTACAGCTCTGACTCCTGGGGAAGGCAGAATTTGCACACAGCTCCTAGAGAGGCAGGGCCCAATCAGGGTCACCACAGGGGAAAGAAAGGGAAGTGGGGGTGTCAGAGACTGACCCAGAGGTGGACACCACCCGATCCAGGCCAGCCTCTGAAAGTCCCCAGAGGATAGAGAACAAGGGAGCATGTGTGCGTGTGGGAAAAACTCCCCTGGGGAAATCCCGGGCGGGGGCCCCGCTCTCCCCCCACTCCCTGCCCTCAGCCCCTGCACCCCGCCCAGCCTGGACACACAAGAAGGTGAGCCTGCTCGCTCCCTGGCTGCCCCCTGGGGAGCGGGAAGTCCGGAGGCCTCACCATGGTGGCTGAGGACAGCCCGACAACCGACGCAGCTGCTCCTGCGCGTGGCGAAGGCGAGGAGCCCCCCAACCTTGGCCGTCAGCACTGTCTTACAGCGAGTGTGCTCACCACCTGGCGGGGGCAGGCAGAGGACACAGTGTGACACCTCAGATCTTGGCCCAGGCCTGAGGCAGCAGCAGGGCTGGGGCCAGGCCTCCCCTGCCTCAATACCTCCTTCCCCCACCATTCAGCATCCCAGTGTTGGCCCAAGCATCTACCCCCCAGCCTGACCCGGGCTCCCCTCCTTCCCCCAGACCCCCAGCCCTCCCCACCACCCGGCCTGGCCCTGCCCTCGCCCCTCAGTCCTTCCCTCCAGCCGGCCTGGCCCTTACGCAGCAGCACGGTCTCGGCCCGGCCCTCGCCCAGAATGGGCTCAAAGATCCTTAGCAGGGGCTTTGCCAGCTGCTGCTCCAGGTAGTACTGTGTGTCGATGGGCAGGTTGTGCTCCAGCACAAACAGGGGGTCCTGGGGGCCAGAGGGGAGGCAGCAGGGCTGCAGCAGAAAGGGCCTGGGCTATGAAGCCCGGGGGACCCGGGTTCAAATCCTGACTCTGATCTCGCAAAACCAGATACACCAACCTCCATGCCCGCCCCCCACGAGCTAGCCAAGAGGTCAGGAGCTGGGGGGACAGCGGGCCGGAGGCCACTGGGTCACGGGGCAGAACGCGCAGCCTGATGGGCGGCCGGCCCGGGGCAGCCACACGAGGCTCCCCGGGCAGCCACCTGGGCCCCGGGAAAGCACCGTGGCCCCCGCCCTCTGCCCCCACTCCTGTGCCGGCCTCCCGGCCCGGAAAGGGGAAGTGAGAATGGGGAGGGCGGCCCAGCCAGGGCCGCAGGTGGTAGCGGGTCTCTCGGGGGAGGGAGGACAGACCTCTGACTTCATGTAGGCCGCGACACCCTTGGTGGCGCCGATTATGACGTAGGGCACTCGGTCCCCCAGGCTGGGGGCGCTGCCGGGATCCCGCTTCCTCATCCTGAGGAGAGACACAAAGGGTCGTGCGCAGCCCCCGCAGCGTGGCTCTGGTGGGTCTGGGGTACAGCCTCCCTCCCCCGCCCTGGGACAACAGGAACAGGCAGGGCCGGGGAGCGGTTGATCCCCACAGGAAGTGGGAGGGAAGCACAGCTGGGCAGGCGAAGGGCGCTATTTCTGGGTCACGCCGACCCCGAGCCAGGGCCGGCTTCTCTGGCCCATCTGGCACCTTCCCTCCCGCCTCCCCGATGCGCTCCCAGCTGCGGCCCGACCTCTCGGCCAGCTCGACGTGGGCCTGCTTCCCCGCATAGTCGGCGGCGGCCCTCGTCAGCTCCTTGGTGATGACGAGCTGTGAGATGTCGACCCGGTTGCAGAGGAGGTCCGAGATGACATCCTGGGCGTGGGCCACCGCGCCAGAGGGGTCGCTGGGGGAGACGGAGAGGAGAGGCCTCAGCCGGCAGGTGGACACTCTGGCCTAGGGCCCGGGGACAGCGCCGTGAGCAGCGCCCGCCCTGGCACTGATGGGGCCTAGGTTCGACTCCCACCCTTGAGAAGTATTAGCTCACTACCTGCGTGCCATTGGGCAAGTCACTGTGTCCCTGGGCCCCAGCTTCCAGCCCGTTGGCCTCCCTCCCAGGCTCCTCTCCACATCACACCCACCAACTGTGGGCATCCTTCAAGGCTCTGTCCTGAGGACTCTCCTCATCACCTCCAGAGAGGTGACTCCCAGTTCCACATATCCAGCCCTAGTCTTTCTCCTAGTCATAGGAAGGACATAGGAGCACGCTAACTAGCCCAATCCCCCTCATTTTACAGATGAGGAAACTGAGGCTGGCCTGCACTATCTCCAGGTGCACTTTCCATCAGCTTCTCAAACCCTACCTCCTCAGCCCTCCTTCCCCCCACTACGCCCCTCCTCTGACTTCCCGACCTCGGCCTCACAGCGAGTGTCACCCCCGAATCCTCACTGCCCCTCACCCCCTTCTGTATCGGTCACTAAATCCTGCTCTTTCTATCTCCAGGATTCACCTGAAACCCTCCCCCAACCTGCTCAGGGCCCCCACTATTGTTGGAATCACCTCCCTAAGGCCCAGAAGGGGATTGTCGCTCTCCTGCTCAAATGCCTCTAGGATGGCCCGGCCTCCTTGGCTTGGCATTCGAAGGCCCTCTGTGGTCTAGGGCCAGCCTCCCTTCCCAGAGCTCCTCCTGCAGCCCTCCCAGGGCCCTCAAGGGTCGACCTGCCTTAGTAAACTGTCGGGGGTGATAGCCAAGCGCACTCCACACCCCCAACTCCTCCTGACCCAAGCTGGGCAGGGCCCAGGGGCGCAGACAGCCAGGTCCCTGGGGGCCCAAACCCTCGGTCTGCACTGACCACTGACCGATCGATGAGGAGGCGCCGCAGCGAAGATGTGACCAGGTTGGCCACCAGCGGGCAGTTGTCTCGGCGGACGGCTTCCAGCCCTTTACAATCCATCTTGTCGTGAGAGTCAGAGCGCGAGGAGAAGAGGAGGCCCGCGTAGCGCTTCTTGCTGATAAGCAGGTATGGGAAGTAGACCTGTTGGTGGGGGAGGAGACTTGGAGGGATGAGACCTTGGAGACCAGGAAGGTTCCCCACTCGATCTCCTCCCCTCCCCCAGGTCACCTTCTCAAACTCCAACCGTATGGGTGAGATGAAGTGGCTGGACACCCAGTCTGCAGCCTCTCGGCCCAGCGCCATTGCCTCTGCCACCGAGGGGACCCCGAAGCGGCACATCACGGAGTCTGTGTCTCCATACACCACCTGTGAGGAAGCCAGCCACCATGGAGGCGCAGCCCGGTTCAGGGAGGCCCCCCCCCCCCGCCGGCCCGCCCCAGCCTGCCGCTCACCTTGGCATCAGCACTGTATCCATTCTCCACGGTGTACTTGGACTCCACCAGCTGCTTAGTTTTCTCAATCATCTGTCGCCCAAACCCAGTGACGCTCTGGGGTGGGGAAGGAAAGGAAAACACGGTGCCCTTCAATCGGCCACCAGCTGGTCCCAGGTTTTATTCCCACATAAAGAGAGGTGGAGCGCAGGGGCAGAGCCAAAACAGTGGGAAAAGGAAGGGACTCAGCGGAGCTCCCCCAAGCCCCCAGAAAACTTTAAATACTGCCGTGTAAAAGGAAGGCACCAGGCTTCCGTGGGCACAAGGCACCTGCCTGGTTTGCCCCGTCCTTGCTACGAGATCCCACCTGCGACGCCATCGGCCGTTTCTTCCAATGGGCCCCGTCTCACCCCAATGTTTCCCTTCTTCTTTTCCTGCCTCTTCCCTTCTGTGTCTCTCCTCTTCTCCATCTTTGCTCTCCATCCACCCCCCCTCTTCCATTTCCTCTCTCTCTTTCCAAATTAGCCACCTCCGGGCCCCCAGTGCTCCCTAGCAAACATTCTCTAACCCCCAGAAGACCAGAGCTGGAGCTGCAGGGACCTTTCGCCATCAGCTGCTCCGATCCCATTTGACAGATGGTGCACCCCCTACCCTCTCTGGAGAGATAACAGGGACCCGAAGATGCCAGCTGAAATGCTGGGAGAGAGACCGTGGGGCCTCTCCTTTGTCTCCATGCCTCCTGGGCCCACCAAGCGGCCACGGAGACCAGGATTATTCAAGCACCGCCAGGCCAGGAGGCGGGGAACGGAGGCTGGCCCCACAAGGGATGCTCCAGTGGAGTCAGAGGACCTGGGTTTGAATCCTGCCTTGAGCACTCATTCTCTGGGTGACCTCGGGCCTTGACCTCTTTGGGTCCCGGCTGGAGATGATCTCTAAGGGTCTTTCAGCTCTACTGTTCTGTGGTCAGTCCTAGCAAAGCAGCTGGGACAGCGGCCCACAACTCATCATCAGGGCCGTCCTCACCCCCACGCCGGTCCAGCCTCCCCTGGGAGTGGAGGGCTCACCTTTCAGGGTCCTGCACCTCCCTGACCTCTCCGCCCGGCTCACCTGAGAGATCTCCACACAGGGCAGCTTCCCAACCTGGGCTCCGGTGAAGCCATAGACCGAGTTGGCGCTAATTTTCAGTGCCAACTGACGTCCATCCAGAACCTGCCGCCGCAGGGGATCAGTTTCTCTGGCCAGCTCTGCCTTGGCCCTGGGAGAGATCAACAGTCAGGGCAGCCCAGGGGCCGGGTGGCAGGAGGGTGGGGGGAGGGAGCAGAGAGAGGGCAGAGGGCTGGATCCCCACCTCTTCCGGGCACTGAGCAGGTTCTCCAAGATCTGAGGCAGAAGGCCCTTCCTCACAGAGGCCTTAACAAACTCATTCCCCGTTGGGGTCTTTATGAACTCGTCAGAGGTCAGGCTGTAAGGGGAGGGCGTCATGTGTCAGGAGAAGGCCCTGGTTTGGCCACCCCAGACCCATCCCAAAGGCAGCCACCCTACCCCAGCTTCTGGGCAGCCCCTGGCCTTAGCAGTGTTGTGTAGCACAGGTTGTGGGCCATCATGATGGATGGGTACAGAGAGGAGAAGTCCAGGGTCGCGATGGGGACATCATAGTACCTGGACCGGGGCACGAGGGGGTGAGAGGTCAGGAAAGTCTGGAGCAGCCCCAGCCTGACTCCACCCCCCCCACCACCTCAGCTCACCCTTTCAGGGGCTCAATCACTGTGGCTCCTGTGAAATCCTCACCCCCCTCAGTCTTCACCACTGGCATCACGAGGCCCTCACGTACCGCCTAGGAGAAGAGGGAGGGGGAATGTGGGGTGGGAGGTGAAGAGTTAGGGAATGGAAGGAGGTGGGGACTGGGAGAAACGAGGAAAGAGGGAAGAGAGAGAGAAGCTGAGGAAAAACTCATAGAGGAGGAGAGCCCGGGATGACAGAAATCCCATCCATGCCATCCCATGGCAGGCCAGAGGAGGAGGGACCTGCCAGAGATGGACCAGGGCACGAGAAACCAAATGAGAACCCAGAGCTCCCCACACCCCGCCCAGCCCTACTCATTTAGCCCCCTGTCTGCTAGAAGAGGCGAGGACAGAAAGATGGGAACTGTCACCGTAACAGGGATGAGAAGAGAGGAGAGGAGTCAGGGGTCAGGTCTGGAGAAGGGACATGGAATCCTTGGGGTCCATAATAGGACAGGGGACAGAATATAGAGGCTAGAGTCCTCCACATCCCAGAATGAGGGATGAAACATGGAGGCCAAAACCCACATGGAAGCTGGAGCCTTGGGATAGAGAAAGACACGTGGATGGGTCCTGGAATCTGAGGATGAGAGATGAATATGGATGGAGGCTAGAACCCAGAGATGGAGGACAAAACATGGATGGAGGCTAGAACCCGGGGGTGGAGGACAAAACGTAGATGGAGGCTAGAACCCGGCGATGGAGGACAAAACATGGATGGAGTCTAGAACTCAAAGATGAAGGACAAAACATAGATGGAGGCTAGAACCTGGGGAAGGGGAAAGAAACGCGGATGGAGGCCGGAATCCAGCGACGGAGGGCAGAACATGGAGGCTGGAATCCTGGAATCAGGAATGAAACCCAGAGCATGTAACCTTGGGATAAGGCATGGAGGCTAGAACTGGGGGACTTAGAGGGTAGGGAATGGAAGGAACTCAGGGATGTGAGGCACGGATGAGGGCAGCAGATCCCCTGGTGGGGGCAGTCCAAGGTAGAGCATGGACTCAGAAGGAAAAGATAAGTGCCTCTATAGGGGCCCAGACCTCCCTCCTCACTGCCCTGGCTGACCTGCCGGAGTAGCTGGGATACGACCTTGACCTGCTGACCCCGAGTGAGCAGGTAGCCAAGGGGGACGCCCGTGACTCTGGCCATCTCCACGGCATTGACCAGGACCATGAGGCGTTCGAGAAGCCGAAGGGGCAGAAAGGCGTCCTTCAGGCAGTATACGGCCAGGCGGCGGCGGGACTGGTCGTTCCCATTCTGGGGCAAGAACGGAGAGGTCAGCAAGGGGCCGGCGGGAGGGATGAAGGAGGAAGGGTGAAGAAACGGACGGGAGCCCGGGCCAGGGAGGTCAGAGTCACCTGCAGGTCAGTGATAATGCTGTGCTGCACATCCTCCTTCTGTTCTCCCAAGAAGTGGAAGCTGACAGCATTGAGGGTGTAGGAGCGAAGCTTGTGCTCTCGAAGCAAGACCTAGCCGGGGATGAGGAGGAGAGGATTTCTGCACGAGGGCCAGAGTGTAGCGGGGAGCGTCTCTCTGGGCCTCTCCTTGAGGGGCACCCCTACCTGCAGCATGTCCATCTGCACCCGCCCAGTCATGCTGACTACTTTGCTGTCTCGTCTGCCCGTCTGCTTGGACTGGAAGGAAGAGTCGCGGATCTGGGAGCGAAGGCCTGAGATCCGGCCCAGGAATGGAAAGGACAAGACCTGGGGAGAAGTGGGTGAGGCATCAGGGCCGGAGAGAAAGGCCCCGCGGCCCCGGGGGGAGGGGTGGAAGAAGGCCACAGACATGCAGGGAACAGAGGAGTAGGAGTGAGGGGGATGTGGCTGAGCAGCCCCTCCCATCCCCAGGGCCCAGCTTCTGCGATCACCTTGAGGGTCTGCGCCCTGGAGATGAGATACGGGAGGTCAAAGTTCTGGATGTTATAGCCGGTTATGACATCGGGGTCCATGGTGCGGACAAAGGAGGCCCAGGCCTGCCAGGATGCAGGCAAAGAGGCTTCAGGATGGCCCAGCACCCGAGGACCCAGAACCACGGCTGTGCCTGCTCCCAGTGGATACCCAACCCGGGGGCGAGAAGGGGGTCAGTCCAGTCATGGTGACCAGTCAAGGGGACGACAGGGTCCAGCAAGGGCCAGAGGCGACGGGTCACCTGAAGAAGGTCTTCTTCGCGCTCAAAGCTGAGGACTTGAGCGCCCAGAATGGGGGCGCAGGGGCGCAAGGTCAGGGCGAGGCGCAGGAAGGGCTCTGGCTCCCCCCAGCGTAGGCCCACAGAACAGATCTGGATCACGGGGTCCCGCTCCGGCTCCGGGAAGATGCCTGTGGGGCACCAAGGGTAGGCCTGTCAACCAAGGTTTTATAACCTCACAGGCTAGTGAGGCGTCACCAGTGGCTAGGCGTGATGAGGTCAAAGCCTGCCTCAGACGCTTCCCAGCGGGGTGACCTCGGCCAAGGCACTGTCCTGCAGCCTCAGTTTTCCTCATCTGCAAAATGGTGCTAACAGCCCCTGCTGTGAGGGGTGTTATGAGGATCAAACGAGACCACATCTGCGGAGGCCTGCGCCGAGCTCAAAGGGCCGTGTGAACATCAGTGTCACCATCACTGCCACTTTGCAGATAAGGAAAGCAGGATCCAAACCTGGGTCTTGCCTCCACCACAGCCAATCCCCTGTGGCCGAGCCTCTTTCATGGGGCCAACCCCCGCAGACTCCCCTCCCAGTGGAGGGCCCAGACCTTTCCTGCCAGCACATTCGATGTCAAAACTCAGCACCCGGAGAGGCGCGATCTGCTGCCACGGCCCCTCCGGAGGGTGACTGACCACGTCTGACCACAGCACATCTGCTTCCAGCTGACACAGTGTGGCCTGGGGAGCAAGCAAGGTGCTCAGAGGAAGCCTGGCCCCCGACGCCTGGGCCCTACCCTTTGCAGCCAGGCCCAACCACCCACCTCACCTTCCCCTCAGTCCTCAGCTGGTACTTCTCTGCGGGGAGCTCGATCCAGTTGCATCCCACAATATCGGTGTCCACCATGAACCTGGGGGCACAGGGTCAGGATCCCACCAGCCGCCCCAGAAGGGCACCTCCCGGCCCCTCCCCCGGGGTGTAAGCAACGGGGCCAGGGGTTCACGGGTCTGGGGCCTCGGCTCCTCACTGTGTTCCAGCCAGGGCCTTTTCCCTTCCTAGGTCCCAGGCCCCGGTGGTCCTTCCAGCTCTAGCGCCTTGAGGACAGAGAGCACGGCCAGCCCCTGCGGCCCGTGACCACAGGCTCACCTGGGGAAGCCACGTGGCCTGCTGGAAGGCGTGGGGTCTAATCATGGAAGAAGGGAAGGGATGGGAGACGAGGAAGGGGCTCAGCGCCCAGGAAGGGGAGAGCGCCTGCACTGCCAGAGCGACAAAGCCGAGGCCAGGCCTGGGGATGGGGCCACTCACCGGATCTCAAAGTCCACGTTGGCTTCGTAGGGTGGGAAGCTGGGGGAGCCGAGGCCAGGCAGCCGCATGCCGTTCTCCAGCAGGCGCCGGGCAGGGGCCATGAGGCGAGGCAGGGCCAGGGTCACCCGCAGAAAGGGCGAGGGGCCCCGACCAATGTAGCCGTACATGCCTGGAGTGGGGAGGATGGGACGGTGAGGGCATTCCCCAGCATCGGCACACCCCCCCCCCCAGCCCCAGGGGGCAGACTTACTCTCACGGGTGCAGAGCTCCACCCCCAGGACAGCGGGTCCCTTCAGCTCCTTGCCCCCTCGCTGCTCCCGGCTCACGGCAGAGTTCAGCTCTCGCTGCAGGTCCCCCAGATGCTCGGGGCCAAAGCCTGGGGAGGGGCACGGTCACCTAGTCACCAGGCGATCCACCCCAAACGTCCTACGCTCATGGCTCAGCCGGGACCCAGGGGCTGATGGTCACTCACCAGTGGGCGCGGGGACGTAGAAGTAGGGGGCAAAGCTGTGGATGTGGCAGCAGACGGAGACTCCGGCATCTGTGACCCCAAAGGCCCGTAGGATGGGGACTGCCTCGGGGGCCCCTGAGGACGGCGGCGACAACGGGGAACCTGTGGAGGCACCCCCGGGCTCAGGGAGAGAAACCGGGGCCAGGGGCCACCCTGCTGGCCGCCTCCTCCCAACTCACCCACGTAGTGGTCAATCTCAAGTTGCTGAAAGACGAGGGCCTGCGTCTTGGGATCCAGGGCTGGCGGGGCAGGCCGGAGCCAGCGAGTGTCCCAGGCAGATGGGGTGAAGTGCCCTGGAAGTGAAAACAATGCCACCGTGGCTCCCAGCCACACAGACGGCCATCTTGAGGGAGGGAGAGAGGCTAAGGTGAGGGGAGCACCAGAGGAGGCTCTGAGGCTGTGCCGCCCTCTGCTCAAACACCTCCAGTGATGGGGAACTCACTACCTCTCCAGGCCCATGCTCTTCTTCCCCCTCCCCCGCTCGCTTCTCTTCTCCAGGTCAAAGCATTCGAGGCAGGGAGCATTTATCAAGTCCCTGACGTGCACAGAGCTTCAAGCTTGGTGCTCAGGGTGCAGGGCAAGAAAAAAAGCATCCTTGTCCTCAAGGAGCTTCTGATCTATTGGAACAAACAACAGGTGTAGACGTTTGCTACTGTTCAGTCCTGTCCGACTCTCCGTGATCTCATCTGGGGTTTTCTAGGCAGAGATCCTGGAGCAGTGTGCCATTTCCTTCTCCAGTTCATTTTACAGATGAGGAAACTGAGGCAAGCAGGGTGAAGTGCCTTGCCCAGGGTCACATAGCCAGTAACTCAGGGAGATGAGTCTTCCTGACTCCAGGCCCGGTGCTCTGTGTGCTGTGGCGCCACCAAGCGGCCCTGGTGTAGACATACAATTACGTATAGAGCATCTCCACACGTCCCTTCACGTACATAGGGAACTCCCAGCTGGCAGACCGCGCCACCCAATCCAGAGACACCAGGCTCCAGAGGGGCCATCCATCCCTAGTCACTGGGCGGCACTCCCACACACAACACATCCAAGGAAATTTGGGTGGGTGGGGGGCTAAGGAAGAGACTCGTGGAAGAGGCAGAGGTGGGCCAGTCTGACCCCCAGAGCGCAGGCAGGGCCGGAAGGGGGCCACCGCATTTTAATGGGATTGGTGACAGCTGAGGGATGGGGCGGTGCAGGGAGCTCAGGGTTGGGCTTGGGGAGAGAACATGAGTTCAGGGTTGGAAGTGTGGAGTTTGAGATGTCCACAGGGCATCAGGGTGGAAAGGCCTAGCGTGTGGCCGTGGAGGAGTAGAGCTTGGGAGCCGGGCAAGGACATGGGGGGTGGGGGTCCAGAGATCCAGGAGACCTCGGCACAGAGACGACCACGGAATCACGGGAGCTGATGAGGCTCTGGACAGACCCCAGGGGTATCCAAGGTTAGAGGGCGTGGTCCAGAGGAGGGCGGCCAAGCACAGAGAGAAGGCCCCTGCCCTCTCCACAGTCCCCAGTGGCTTTGCTCAGTGCTCAGTCTCCAGCGCCTCTCTCTGACCACTCCTCCTCCATCTCCTTGGCTGGATCCCCTCCAGACCACACTCCCTAACCTGGGGCAGCCCCTGGCTCTATCCTGGGCCCTCTTCTCTTCTCCATCCACACTGCTTCACTGGGCTCTTGCCCCCTCCCGTGGATTTAAGGACCACCCCCATGCCAGTGACTTTTAAGTCGACCTTTGTGCCCCAATCTCCCACTGCTGTTCAGACATCTCAAGCTGGATGTCCAGAAGACGTCTACACGCAATCCCACCGAGAATGTATTCTCTTTTCCCCTGAACCTGTCTACCTCCTACCTTCCTTGACTTCGGAGGGCACCCCCACCCCAGGAGCCATCCCAGGCTCCTCAGCTCCCTTTCACGCCCAGATCCAATAGGGCGCCAAGGAGCATGATGTCGGCTCTGCAGCATCTAACCCTGCCCCGCCTGGTGCAGGCCCCATAGCCTCGTGCCTGGACCACGGCAGCAGCTGCTGGGGGGGTCTGCTGCCTCCAGCCTCTCCCCACTCCACCAACGCGCTTGTCCGACCGCATCACCTCCTAGTCACCAATCTCCTGTGGCTCCCAACTGCCCCCACAGTCAAACGCAAAACGCTGCTGGGCCCTCCCGCCTGGCTGTGGCCATCCCTGGGCTCCGGCCACGCTCTGGCCACCCCTGGCCCGGATCGCTCTCCCTCCTGTGCTCCCACTAGCAGCCACCCTGGCTGCCTTCAAGGCTGCCCCCAGATTCCAGCCTGTGGCTCATCTCCCATTGTCTTATTCAGAGGGCAAACGCACGTGTCTGTGTGTATGTCTGCTTGCAGGGGGGCTCCCCCATCCGATGCTAAGCTCCCCGAGGGCAGAGTGCATCTTTTGTGTCTCGCTGAGTCCCCAGAGCCTGGCACTCAGCAGGCGCTTAATAAATGTTGATCGACCGCCAGACTAGCCTGGCACGGTCTCTACCCTCGTACCATCGTGACGCCAGCCCATCGATGCTCTGTGCAGAGGACACGCCACCGCACAGCTCTCGGCCTCACACGTGGGCTCTGTCTGTGTCTTAAGACCCCATCGATCTTTCCGGCTACTGACTCACAGTGAGCTGGGTCCACTGAAACACTCAGAGCCTCTTCTGCCCAGAGAGGTCCCTGATCACCCCCCAGGAGTGTCAGCACACAGAACCCGGGCCTGGAGTAGGCAAGACTTGAGTTCAAATCTACCTCAGGTACTTCCTAGGTGTGACCTTGGGAAAGTCACTGGTCACATGACCTGTCTGCCTCAGTTTCCTCAACTGCAAAACGGAGCTGTTGTGAGGATCGGATGAGGTGATGTCGGTAAAGTGCCCACTGAGCCCCCGCCCAGTCTGATGGCCACTTCTCCCAGCTCCTCCCCCAACCCTGCCCACTCTGGGAGGCTGGGGGACCCGACTTCCAGTGTCTCCCTGAACACAAGGTGGGCCCCGGCCCATCCAGGTGACCTCTGAGGCCTCGGGGCCTGTCGTGACCTGGCCGCTCCCAGGGCTCCCTCAACACGCTAACGCCTTCCTGGCCTTCCCTTCCCGGCCCTGGCCCCCTCTTTCCTCCACTGTTTCCGGTCCGGTGCTAGCTCCCTGCCTCCTGCTCGGCTGCTAAGGGCGTGCTCAGGCCACCATCCCCTCATGGCTCCCTGGCCGGGACCAGCACGCACACTGCTCTGGTGTGACACACCCATCCCTCTAAGAGCAGGGACCGCCCGTTCGGTCCTTCTCTGAGCAACATCTCTGTTCTTGGGTGAGCCGCCTACCATGTGAGGCTGCTGGCGGCGGATGCCTACTGTGTGTGCGGCTGGGGAAGCAGCCCCCTTCCTGGGGGTCACAGGTCAGCTACGGTTGAGGGGCTCACCCTCGGCCCCCTCGGGGGGCAGGTGCAGCTCCTCCTCCTCCTGCTCCTGCAGCCTCCGCTCGGCCTCCATCTCCTCCATCAGCGCCAGCTCCTCCTCAAACTGGGACTGGGGCATCTCGTCCTCCTCGGCCCGGGCCCCGCGGGGGCGCTTGGCCCCGGGCAGCCCCGCACTGGGCGCAGGGCGGCGTTTGTGCTCCATCCTGGGGGGGAGGGGGAGCCTGTGCCACGGCTCCCAGCTCCGTCCTCTCCCAGGCTCCATCCCCTCCCCCCCAATGCTCCATCCCCTCCCCCTCCTCCCCCAGGCTCCATCCCTTCCCCCCCAATGCTCCATCCCCTCCCCCTCCTCCCCCAGGCTCCATCCTCTCCCCACAATGCTCCATCCCGTCCCCCGAGGCCCCCCCCCTGCCCCCCAGGCACCCCCCGCCCCGGCGCCCTCTCCCCCAGAGCCCGCACACACACACTCACTCACTCGTCCGCCGGGTACAGAATTCCGTGTGTCTCTCTCCGCTGCTCGCGTTTCCCGCCACCGGTGCCCGTAGTCCTTTGACCCCTGCGCGCGCAGGTCCCGGGCGGGGCCATGTTGAGTGTGGCCGGGGGCCCGATTGGCCACCCTACGCCTGCGCCGGGGGCGGGGAACTAGGGGCCGCCATGTTGAGTGTGGCGGAAGCTAAAGCCGCGCTTCCCCGGACGGTGCCATGACGTCATCAGATCATCAGCCTCGCCCCCCTGGGGGGGGGAGCAACTGAGGACGAGAGGTGCTTCCGCCCCCTCCCCCCTCAAGGTCACGTAGCTTCCACCCCGAGGCAGCCCGGTTTAGGAGAGCCAGCAGTGCACCTGCGGCCAGAAAAGGCCTAGGCTTGCCACCTGGCTTCCCCGCTGACCTGTGGCAGCCCACCGCCCCTCGGGCTGGGCCCCGGGGTCTGCAAAGCCCCGAGTCCCAGCACCTGCCTCAGTGTCCTCATCTGTGAAATGGGGATGACCTGGCACCCACCTCCCAGGGTTGTTGTGAGGCTCAAATGAGATGTCTCAAGGCGCTTAGGACAGCACACAGTAGGCACCTTGAGAAAAAAGGGCCGAACTGGAGGCTCCCTGAGGCTGGCTCTGATCAAGTCAGTTTCTGGGCCTCAGATTCCCCACCTACAACAAGGGGCCCCTCGTTCAGTTTCAGACACCAGCTGTGGGGCTTAACCTTCGTGGCCCTCACACCCATCTGCCCTTGGTCGCCAACCAGAAAATGAGACACTGACAAAGAGCTCGGGTAACCTAGAATTGCCCAGCCTTAGTCATCGGCCAGCTCTCCCACCGCCCACAAGAAGCCTTCCCTGTTAAGCACCTCCTTGTCATCCCACATAGGTTTGATTGCCCATTTGTGAGATGTCTCCCCACCAGACAGCGAGCTCCCTGAGGCCAGGGACTGGCTTCTGCCTCTTTGTGCATGCCCAGTGCTCAGTACAGGGTCTAGCACACAGTAGGAGCTTGATAAATGTCTGCTGCCCGACAGTGCATTTTTTTTATACACTCCCCCAAAGGAACTGTTTTTGCCTTTCTATTTTCAGTGCCTGGGCATACAGTTAGCTCTTAATAAATGCCTGCAAACTGCCACGGCAGTGTGAAGAACAAAGTACTCAAGAGAACCTCAGAGCAATGTACAAATGTGTTATCCCCTGAAACCTGTCCCCCGTGGAATGCCTTGCCCGTCCCTGGGGTCTCCAAGGAGGAAGCCAAAAGGCCAGGGAACTCCCTGCCTGTCCCTGGGGGCGTCCAAGGAGGCCAGTGAACTCCCTATCCCTGGGGTCTCCAAGGAGGAAGCCAAGAGGCCAGTGAACTCCCTGCCTGTCTCTGGGGTCTCTGAGGAGGCTGAGGCCCCCTGATCTTCCCTCACCAGTCCTGCTCTCCAGTTCTGCCCACGACGGGAGGTAGAAGATTCTGACCAGGACTCACTTAACTCTCTTTGACGTTTTTATTAAGATTTTACTTTGTCTTGTTTATTAAATAAAAGGAGTGGATGGGAAGCCCTCTCACCTCCCTTGGGGCCACAGGAAACAGAGGACCCCAGGACCCGAGGGCCCTGCCCCCCTTGACCCCAGGCGGAGAATCAGGCCACCCCCTTCCCTTCAAGGTGCATTGCGCTGTGTAAGCAGGGGAGGACAGGAAAGGTAAGTGCTGGGGGTCAAGGGTCAATGACCCACCCACCTCTCTCCAGGAAGACAATGTCAGGAGCAGGGCCTTGGGTCACCTGGTGACCAAGGTACCTACTCAGGAGCTCGCCGTGGGCCCTGTGGCCGGAGCCCCGGGCCTGCCGCCGGCCCGTGGGGACCTGGCCGAGCTTGTGGGGCTGCCCCACGCTCCTGCCAGGCAGGGCCCAAGGAGCAGGGGCAGTGCTGGGGACAGGCCAGTGGGAGCTACTCCCCGGTCACTCATGGACATCCCAGATCTCAGACAGCAGCGGAGGGAGTTTCTTGTCCTGGAGGCGCAAGGCAAACACTTGCTCTGAGTGCACAGAGCTCAGCGTCCGCAGGCTCACCAGCTTCATCAGCATCCGTGGGAACCGCAGCTGGTCCTGGTTGGGGGGGGGGGAGGCGTTAGGGCCCAGGCCTCCTCGGGCTAACACCCAGGCAGGAGAGAGGGAAGGGCCATTCTGGGGTGGAGGGCGCGTCTGGGCGCCCCGCTAGCTCGCTATCTGGGATGGAGTGCAGGGACGGTGCGGTCTAGCGCCCCACTAGCTCACTACCTGGGGCATCTTGATGCGGGTGTAGGAGAGCAGGGCCTCCACATAGGGCTGCTGCAGGGCCTCCACTCGGCTTGGCTCCTGCACATTGGGCCGGTCGGCAGAGAAGATGTTGATGGCTATAAGCAGCGCGTACTCCGCGTCGTCCAGGCCCAGCCGCCGCATGGCCCTGGAGAACTCGAAGATGGGGTTGATGAACTCCACCTGCAGGCCTGGGGGTGGAGGCAGAGAGCAGGAGGCTGATGGGCACTCCGAGAGCCCCGCCCGGGCCCATCTGCTGGGAGCACCCCCTGCCTTGACTCAGATACCCCACAGCACACAGCAGGTGCTCACTAGATGCCAACTGCCTTTCTGACTTTGCTCTCCTCTGCTACCTCCTCCTCCCCCACGCTCACAGACCATCTTCTCCCTTTATGCATGGGCCTCGCCCAGAACCCCAGACCTAGAACCGAGGAAGCTGAGTGACACCATCCCTCCTCCCCCCTGCTCTCTGTCCATGGCCCCTAGCCCCCAGACCGCCCCCTCCTCAGGTCCCAGCCCCCAGCCCCGCTCTGAACCTGCTCGGTGGAAGTCGTCCTTGCTGTAGGTAAAGTCCTTCAGAAACGTGATGCATTCCGTCTCATGGTTGTACCGCCGTGCTGTCTCCAGCAACATGATCTGGGGGGAGAGCAGGGAAGTCAGAGCCGGCCCAGCCCAAGTGCCCCAGGGCCCCAGCACACCCCTCTCCGCCTGGCCCACGTGTCCAGTGAGGGGCTTCACCTTCTAGATCCCCCCAACCTGGGCCAATCTGGGCTTGGGTCTCACTATCATATGATGAGAGAGGGTCCCCCCCTCTGACAGTCCCATGATTCCTTTATCCCTCCGGCCCGATTCTGAGGCCCACTGGTCTATACTATGAGAAGTGGGGCTCCCTGAGCTGACCCTGCTCAGTGCCCCACACCCAACCCTGGCCAACATGGAGAAAGCTGGGCTAGGCCTGGCAGCCACCCACCCCCCGGGCCTGGGCCCAGGGCAGGGAGAACCTCGATGGTAGAGGCCTTGAGCAGCGCAATCTGGTCCTCGCGCCCCAGCTGCAAGAAGCCCGGCACCTGCTTGGCAAAATCCACGATTTCTTGCACAGAGATGATGGCCAGCTCCGTGAAGTGGGCGAAGCGCTGCTGCCTCGCGTCCCTTGACTGGGGGTCGGCCCCCAGCGGCCAGGGCTGCAGGAGAGGGGGGGGGTGACTCACATGGGGGCCACGGGGCAAGTCCCAGCCCCCAGCCCCCTACAGGGGCACCCGCATCATTACCGTGACCTTGGGCTGGTCAGAGAACGAGCGCTTGTTACACTGCAGCTGGGCCGCCACAAGCTGCTGGATCATGAGCTTCTGGTCGGGCGTGAGCTGGACGCCGGCAGCCTCGGCGGGGCCCGCTCCTCCGGCCTCCGAGGAAGCGGCCGGCGAGCCCGCGGGCCCGGGGATTGGCCCCCCGGGGGCAGCCGCGGCCCCAGGGAGTGGCCCCTGCACCAAGGGCTGACGCTTCTGGGTCTTCTTCTTGCGGATCTGCTCCTCGGAGAGGACGCCTGCAAGGGAGATGCCGGGCCTGAGCGCAACCCCGCCCCGCACCCGCGTGCCCGGCTGGCCCCGGCGGCCTCCCCGCCCCACACTCACACTGCTCCCGCATGCCCGCCTCGCGGCACTTGCGCAGACGGCACTCCTGGCACTTGCGGCGCATGAAAGCGTTCATGTGGCAGGCCCCGCCCCCGCGGCAGGTGTAGCGCCGGGCACCGCCCCGCACCACGCTGCGCCGGAAGAAGCCTTTGCAGCCCTCACAGCTGAGCACGTTGTAGTGGAAGCCCGAGGCCTTGTCCCCGCACACGCGGCACAGCTCGTGGCCCAGCATCTTGGGGGCCGGGCCCTTCTTGCGCTTGCGCTCAGGCTCCAGCTCCTCCACTGCACAGGGTGCAGAGAGACGGGCAGGTGGGGGAGCGACGGGGGGACACCGGGAGGACCCCAGGGGACGGGGACAGGCAGGGGACTCGGGGACGCGGGCGGGCCCCCAGCGGACAGGGATGGGCGGGGGCCTCGGGGACGGGGCAGGCATGGGACCCCCTTGGCCCAGGGTCTTACCGATGCCGCAGGCAGAACCCTCCCCAGTTGGGACAGCAGGCATGGGGCCATCGGGCTCGGTGCTGGGGGGTCCGGTCCCAGTCATCCCAGGCTCAGGCCCCTCTTCCTTCATGAACTTTGAGGCCCCATCATCATCACCTCCTGGGGGAGAAGGAGAGTGGAGCCGCCTCTTCAGTTCACCTCAAGAAGCTCAGCCGAACAGGGACCCCCTGCCCTGAGCGGGGGGGGGGGGGGGGGGGGAGACAGGACACTGACTGCTGCTGCTTCTATCTAGACTAAGGGTCCTGAGTGGGTGAGGGGCATGGCAGGAGTGAGGACTTTTGAGAAGAGAGAACAAAAGCAAGCGTGCTCCTACTGCGTGCCAGGCCCCAAACTAAGCGCTTTACAAAGAGCATCACAATAACCCGTGAAGCAGGTGCTGTCACGGTCTCCACTTTACATATGAGCATACTGAGGCAAAAGAGAGTTCAGTGACTCACCCAGGGTAACACAGCCATAAGGGCTTAGGGCAGAATCTGAACTCAGATCTTCCTGACTCCAAGCCCTCAGTTCTGTGCACTGTCGTGCCCCCTAGTGACCTCTGGATGGATGAATTTGGCATCCCCAGATCCGAGTTCAAATCCTGTCTGATATTCTGTGACCTTGGGCTGACAATCACTTTCCATCTATAGCTTTAGTTACCACATCTGTAAAATTCGGAGACCCCCACTCAGTCACCCCTAAGGGACCATCTGTAACTGCCAGGGCCTCTGCCACTGAGGGTCTGGTGACTCTCCCTGGA